TTTGTTAGCAAATGTCTGATCTGGATGTTTCGGCGAACACAAATTTTGCGTACCAAATTCTATAAGGATTCAAAAAGACAAATTAAAAATAAATATTAATATTAGTAACGTATAAAAGAGTCTTCATGTTTTTCATGATTATTTCAAAACATAAGTGGTCCTATTTGCAATAATATTTCTATTTATTTTCACTTTAAATCGGCTGCGTTTTAAATTTTTACTCGTGGTAGAATTAAGAAGGTAACCTTGGGCAATTTTATGTTTATAATGTTTTCAACATTATACTTTTGACAACTTCACAATGTAAATGTATAAACTCAGAGATGGGAGCCTGCTTTCAATGAAGTAGAATGTAACAAAGAAAATGATAGAAAATGCAGAGCTGGACTCTAGAGGGTGAGATAAAAAAACGCCATAATTTTTACATTAATTTTTAAAATTTTATTAAATAAAAGCCAAAATGTCGGAAATAGCATCAAATTTTAGAATTACTTTAGATTTGTTCGAATTGGTCACCTTTGGCACGAATTATGGCCTTTAAATGGCCAATGAAACGACCACACGTTGCCTGAATGTTGCTCTGCGGTATTTTGGCCCATTCCCGGCGAAGCGCTTGCTTGAGGTGATCGACACTTTGGTATTTTTTAGTTCCAACCTTGCTTTCCAAAATACTCCAGACACAATAGTCCAACGAATTGGTATCCGGAGATTTTGGTGGCCATTGTGCGCCGGAAATGAAGCGAGGAACCTCATTTTATAACTGAGTCCTGTTGGAATATCCAAGGTCTGCGGCCAAAATGCTTGCGAGCCCAAGGCTTGATTTAATCGGCATTTATTCTGATGTCACCGTCGATTAATACGAGCGAATATTGGTTGTTATTGCGGCCCACACCTTCACCATGGCCGGCGCTTGAGTTCTGGTGGCAAACCGAAGGTGCCCATTCTCAACTCACCTCTTTGGCAAGTAAACACGATCATTTCGTTTGTTTACCAACTGCTGGACAACGAATGTTTTCTCATCGGAGAAAACCAAATTCGGCAGTTCACCACTTTCGGCCAAGCGAAGCAACTCTTTAGCTCTTTTGAATCTATTTTCTTTCTGTTGTGGTGTAAGTTCTTGCGCTTTCTGGAACTTCAATAGCTTTACCCCCAGCTCATTTTTCAATATTTGCCGAATGGAATATTGCGATATGTTCAGCTCACTTGCCATATTTTCGACCACTGCGACGCGAGTTTCGATCAAGTCGTTTCTTTATTTTTCGAACCATTTCTGCTGTTGTTATTGTTTTCTTCCGTCCAATTCCTTGACGACGGGCTACGCTACCAGTATCACGGTAACGAGCGATGGTACGAAACTCAAAAGATTTATTTACATATAAATGCTGGAGTACTCTAACTATAGCCACTTGTGATTTTCCAGACAAATATAAAAAATCACACTATCACGCTTGAATTCCATCACGAATAACTTTTCTTTCTGGAAAATTCTCACCAAAATTCTGGATTCTCAAAAAGGACAGCTTCTCTTTTCGACGATTCTGCGACATGTCCCACAACCCAAGCACTTTGTTCTCCATTGGTAATTTTGTTAAATTCCTCACAAAAACCCTCCGAAGCGGAAGCAGGCATTGCTATTAAAAGGCCGCCAGAGGTTTCAACAGATTTTCCAGCTTTTAACTTTGCATAAGTGTAGTTAAGTTTTTCGGCAAATCCCAAAATATTTTTAATTATAGGCAATTTTTCGATATAATGAGCTGTCACTGGAATAATTTTAACAACTGACGGACGAGTGGCTTAGAAATGACAGCAGTCTGATGTTGGTTGCAGTTTTTTTCATCTCACCCTCTATATACCCTAAAACTACAACCCCTTAAATACATATAATTAATAAACAACATAAAATCTACGTTAATACATTTTATTCTCAATACTTTCTATAGACCTGTCTTTCTGTTTATCCTCTAAAGATAAAATTAAAGGCCTCCCATTGGCTTCTAAATTTATAAACTGTTTTCGTACAACTACACAGCTCTTCTATATACAAATCTTTTTATTAATATTGACCCTAAAATTTTTTAGGATATCTAATAATGTATAATTTTTGTGTACTTTTCCGTATTTTCGTAAAATTGGTCCAACCCAAATTAAAATACAAAATTTGCTAAACGAGTAGGCTTCGTCTTTTTATACTATCCACCTTGGAGAGTATGTTAACTTTGTCATTGCGTTTGTAACGTGCCTAAATATTCATCGTAGACCCCATAAATCATAATTAGCATAAAATTCTAAGTCGGATTTACGATGTCCGTCTGTCTGTCCGTCCAATACAGTCCACATTTTTTGACGTAGAGCGTCAAAATCTAACAGGACAAATTGTATTATGTCTAGGGTGGTTGGTATTGAAAATGAGATATATCGGTCCACGTTTTGGTATAGTCTCCATATAACGATATTCGTATTTTGATGATTTTTGCCATTTGTCATGAAGGATTCTAGCACATGTGGCGAAACATTGTATGTGCAGGCCAGGGATGGAAAATCAAAAATTTCAAAAGGTACTAAAATGGTACTTTTTTAAATAAAATGGTACTTTTCTATAATTTTTTTAGAGTTACAAAAAACGTTTTATTCAGTAAACAAAACAAAACAAACATAACAAATTCATTCACCTATGTATTTAGGTACATATGTATCATGGTAGAAGAATATAGGTAGACGCGTCGACACAGCTGCTGGGATTGAATGAAAAATTATTTAAATTTGTAAAAATTGTTGAAAAACGCTAATTATAATAGCCTCCGAATGACGTAGTATAAGAATACATATAAAAATCCACTTATATTTGAAAAAACATTTAATTTTTTTTTGACATATCAATGCTCCCAAGCGTTGATGCGTCTACCTGTATTCTTCTGCCATGATATGTATATACCTTCCAGGAACATAAAATGTGAGATCATTTTTTCTTATATAACATTCTGAATTTTGTAAAGTTATTTTTATGATTAATTTGTTATTTCTCAAGGAAGTTGTCTGGAATTTTGTAATCAAAACAGCAAGAATTATTCGATTTAAGAAGATCTTTCGACCTTATGAGATTAGAAAGACTTTCTAGCTGTAGACGATTTCTTTCTTTAGTCTTAGTGGCATTTTGAATTGAAAATATTCGTTCAACATTCACTGAAGAATGGGGAATTGATTATATACCAAAGGCAATTCATGATATATCTGGGAACATTAATTCCGCCAATTCGTTTTTAATAACACTAACATTAAGCCAAAAATCACTAATATTACCATTTTTACATTTTTTAAGTTTAGGATAATCAGATAATGCTCTAAATTGAGAGTTAATGTTTTCAAAATTTTGTTATTCCTTGGGAAATGTATTGACTCTTTAAATGATTGTTTCCACTTTTTGAAAAATTCCATGTTTGCCTCAGTCAAAACACATGATTGTCATGGTTTTAACTAAAGATGGCAACATTTAGATTTACAAAATATCATATATCGATACCTTTATCGATATCACTTATATCCATACATTTGCAATGATAAACGAAGTTAATGCCAATGGTGTCGTAAGAATTTGAATGAAGCAACGCGATCTTATTTAAACGTCGATTTACACTAATTGCATTATAATGGAGATGCCTTATGTGAAATTGTACTGAATTTCCCGCGGGAGTGAAATTGTACTAAAAAAAGTACCATTGTACTGAATTTTCCATCCCTTGTGCAGTCCCATTTTTTGGTATAGCCTCCATATAACGGTACCTCCCGATATTTTCATGATTATTGCCACATTTTTTTCACGGATTTGTCTAAAAATTGATATTTGTTGGTCATAATGGGTTCTAGCGTTTCATTGACCCTAAGGTGGAGTGTATTTAAAGTTCGGTCCGGCCGAACTTAATGCTTTTTACTAGTGCTATCTTAATATATTGTATAAATTAACTCCTAAAAGGGTTAAATAAATACATTGTTTTTCTTTTTTTGTAACTCCAGATCAGATATTTGCTTTAGCAACTTCAAATTTAAATGGATTCACTCTGCAATATTAAAAAAAACATTTGTTCGAACTCAATTCATAACTTTTCACCATTTGTATAATTCATGTATTGTTTGGTAGCTTAGGTAATTTAGGAGCAACTTTTTCGTAGCTGTAGCAACTGTTTAAGAAAAAAAAAAAAAGAAAACCTGCCCTAATATATAGATCTCCTCCATGCAAGGGATTTGTTAAGTAGTTAGCTAGTTGTTTTTGTTCATTTTTGCATACAGCACGTACATTTTTTAAATTACATTCATGCACTCCAAATCACCTGAAGTAATTTTACTAAAGTAAAACTCGATATTACAATTCCCACCCAATTCACAATGCACAATTCCATCCATTCTCTTCACCGTGTTTATACATTTAGATTAACGTTTAGTAAAAATGTAAAAATTGACATTGGCCCCATTGCCCCGTATTCATTTTGTAGATTTACCGAATAAAGGAAACAAATTAAAGAAACTCCTAATAAAAGATTTTCACACTAAACATACACATGAGTATGCTGTCAAAATCGGATTTTGTGTGAAAAGTAAATTCAAAATGAAGAAATATTTGTGAGCACACAAAGCCGATTTTGATGATATACATAAACCTCATGACATATTCTTGCCGCCCTGCCCCATTTACTTTCATTAACATCCCAAATACATGTATATTTTAATACATATAACTCACCACAGAAAAATAAACATTTGTATATCCATTTTTATGTATTATTTCAAATATTTCATCACATATATATTTGTAAACTCTTATATATATGTATGTATATCTATATAAAAAATTTATTTTTAATATTGTATATATATATATATATAAATATTTTTATTTTTATAATTAAACGAAAATTAAGTCATTTCAAATATTGAATATTTTTTAACAAATGTGAAAAATATTTTTTTGGCTCTTTTTTCGGCATCGAAACAAATGCTGCGTAACACAGGTACCACAAAAGCACAGGCGGAGGATCACGGCGTTCTAATTATAACAACACTTCTCGTCGTCTCGTTCCTAATTTGTCTCCTATGCATACTCTATCACTCCAGAAGAAAACGTAGACAGCAGCTTCATCAATTGGGTCTGCATCGTAATGCTCACTATGATTCGCAAACAAGTGCCACGGGTAAGTGGATCAATTGATCGATTTTTCCGTTTTTTATTTTGAATTTATGTTTGTCTGTTTTATTTTCAGTTTTTAGAAGATTTTAAGTTGTGTGATTTTTATTTTGTGAAGGTAAATTGTGAGTTTTTAAACATGTATGTGTATATAAAGACCATCCGCTTGGAATAATTATTATTTTTTATTAAAATTGTGATTGAATTTTTGAAATAGAAATTATATTTTTATACCCTCCACCATTCTATGGAGTGTATCTGTAAATTCTTTGTTTAAATGTGTTGCCTTATTAAGGCGTAGGTCATTTGCTGATGTATCCAGGGCTCCTTTGAAAATTCGTTAAAAATGGACCCTGGTGGATCCAAGGGCTAAAAAGTTTTCGTTAGTGCATCCCCTCCCTTGAAAGTTCCTTTGCAATCCAGGTGGAGAGCCCAAGAGTCCTCTCAAAAAGGTCGTGCAAAAAAATAAAAAGAAAACAGTTTTTATGACTTCCACCATTCTATGGAGGGTATATTAGCTTTGTCATTCCGTTTGTAACTCCTCGAAATATTTATGTTAGACCCCACAAAGTGTATATATTCTGGATCAGCGTAAAATTCTAAGACGATATAGCGATGCCCGTCTGCTTGTCTGTCTGTCGTTCTGTTGTAATCACGTTATCTTTAGAACGAATTGAGATGGAAGGCTAAAATTTTGTATACATGCATAGTTTACCAGTAGGCAGATTAAGTTCGTAAATGGGACATGTCGGTCCACGTTTTCGTATAGTCCCCATATAACGGTATCTCCCGATATTCGGTCAAATTTCATATTTAAAGTTCTTAATAGGTACTTCGTAAGGCCCCTATATAACGGTACCTCCCAATATTCGGTATTTTCTTGATTTAAGTGACATTATTTGCCGGAATTATTTCAAATATCATATTTGAAGTTCGTAATGGATTCTGCAGCCTATGACAAACATTTTTGTATGCAGGTCCACATCTACGTATAGCCCCCATATAACGGTAGCTCCCAATATTCGGTATTTTAATAATTTCAGCAACATTATTCACCGGAATCGTTTCAAATTTCGTATTGGGAGATCTTAATGGTTACTACAACCTATGGAAAAAAAACGTATGATTCACGTCTTCGTATAGGCCCCATATAACGGTACCTACCGATATTCGGTATTTTGATGATTTTAGCTACAGTCTAAGAAAGAAAATTGTCTGTGCAGGTCCACGTCTTCGTATAGCCCCCATATAACAGTACCTCCCGATATTCGGTATTTTGATGATTTTAGCGGCATTATTAACCGGAATTGTTCCAAATTTGGTATTTAGAGTTGGTAATTAGAACTACACTCTATGGCTGAAAATTATCTAAGGCCCATATATCAGTACCCCCCTCTCGGCGATATTAGGTATTTTGACGATTTTAGGTATAATATTCACCTAAATTGTTTGAAATTTCGTATTTGAAGTTTCTTATAGATAGTCTGTGACAGAAAATTGTCTATGCAGGTCCAGGTCGTCGTATGGGCCCCATATATCAGTACCTCCCCATATTAGGCATTTTGACAATTTTAGCTATATTATTCGCCGGTTTTTTTTTACAAGTTTCGTATTTGAATACTGTAATGGCTTTTGACGAAAGTTGCCTATGCAGGTCCATGTCTTCGTATAGACCCCAATATAACGGCTATATTCGGTATTTTTAAAATTTTAAAAGATTTTTTTAGCGAATTTTATTTTTTTTGAAAATTTTCAAATTTGTTCGAAATGGTGGAGGGTACTAAAAGTTCGGCCCGGCCGAACTTTATGCTTTTTTGCTTGTTTGTGTTATATTTTGCAACATTCAACTGTCACAGGAACTCATTCATTAAAACCTTTTATATTGTTTTCTTCAGGTCTCAACTCCAGTCGTCGTCATCTGCAGAGCGGTGGTGCAAGTATTGCGGGTAGTTTACATGGTCTAAATAGTGGCACTCTCATCATACCACCAGCACCACTGCCACCACGTGCCATACATCAACCACCACATATTTGCATATCGGGTTCTAGTCTCGATTTGGGACCCGGCAACTATCCCGGCATACTCATCAATGGCGACTCACTGGAAGATTCATCATCGACCTCAAACGATTCCATTGGCAGTATACCATTTCTAAACGATTGTGAAACGGAAAATCTGGGACAACATATGATGCAGGCCCATGTTGGAGGTGCTGTTGTAATAGGTGGTGGAGAAACCGTTTAACATTTACAAAAAACTCTAACAAAATTATTTTATTTAAGAAAATTTCAAAACAACCGGAAATCATTTGTTTAATTGTATTTAATTTTTAATCTCTTTTAATATTTAAGGGAAACTTGTTTTAAATTAAATTACAATATGATTATTGTTTTAGATATATTTAGATATTTTTAGTGACAATTTTTAATTTTTTTTTTTTCCTTATTTTAATACAATCAGGAGATGTACGAATACTGAGCAAGCAAAAAAATTGATAATTATATTCAAAAAGAAAGTAATACAATTCAAAAGTTAACAATACCCAAAAGACAAATGCAAAACAAATAAACAAACAAAAAATAAAAACAATTTAAAATTAAGAAACTAATAAAAAAATAAAAACAAAAGGATTCTATATATTAAAAATATAAACGAATTGAATGAACAAAAACCAAATAAAATGATATAAGAAAAATTTTTAACAAAACAAAATGAATCAATTTTCAAGAAAAAGATATTAAAAATTATAAAAAAAAAACAAAATTAATTATATAGTAGAATATGTTTGAATGAAATTGACTACAGCAAGAGCAAACAAAACTACAAACTGAATCACTCAATTTCAAAACTATAATTCAACAATATAAAACAAATTCAAATACGTATAACAACACTGAATGCAAAAATAAAAAATAAAGAAAACTAAAAAAAGAAATACCAAAACTAAATTTCACAACTGACTTTTGCCATATAACAAAAAATGGTAAAACTAAAATTAAATAAAACAGTTTAAATGAATTATATAAAACATAAATATTGTTGATTTTTATATTTGATACAAATAATATTCTTATATATTATTAGGAAACAAACTGAAAACAATTAACAAGAAATCATTATGAGAACAAACAAACATAAACTTTTTGCAAGTCATAAGATGAGATAATTACATATGTAACGTTTTTAATTCAATACGAAAAGAACAACCACAACAACAATTCAATAGCAATAATAATTAATAGTTAATAGCGAAAACAATATATAAACATACACCTACATAAATCCAAAAAAATACACTTAACCAGTTTGAATATTTTTACATTCCCATACCATAACAGCAAACGTTCCGAATCATATACATTGAATATACAAATATTTGGGAGGAATTCATAATCTACATTTCTAATCGGTTGGTGATCTTTAAAATATTTCTTGCAATGTTTCCTCGTATTACAATAACCATGTTGAAAACAAATTATGCATCCATACTTTGTATTGCATGTTTGGTTTTGTCTCAAGTGACAAGAATTGAAACAAGTTGCATAACTGCTTGTGATTTGAAATGCTTTGAAATTAAAACAAAGTTCTTGGACAAGATACTGTATATTTTCATCTTCAGAGCAATAATATATATGTTTTCAAAACTCGATAAACCACAATGTCAAAAGGTATTGTTATGTGGGGAATGATATGCCCATGTCATTAAATTGACATCGAATTTTTGGAAGATAAAAATATGTTTTAAAAGGAATAAAATAATATACATGCTCCTAATCTTATGTTTAAAAATGATACGAATAGACATGGAAAAAAATCCGCAGTTAGTATGGTCCTTTTTTGGATAAATATTTCAGTTAAGGTTAAAGAATTCTACATTTGCTAGAAAATATGTAATAGAATTGATGTGTTTTCTATCTTTTCGCCTTTTTGTCCAGTCTTGAATACAAAATATTCATCCATGGCCGCACTTAGGGCTAGCTAAGCTAATTTCGAGAGCTTTCAGATTTACGATCAAAAATATTACTCCGATTTCTATGGTTTCCAATTTGAAGTTTGACATGACATTAGTTTGAATTATCAAAGGGCGGGAGAATCCTTCTAGCGATTTTTCAGTATTAGAATTGGGCTTCAGCACGGCTTGTACTCGACCGTTTTTGATTCTTCTTTATAGTATAGTCGCTTTCCCAAGGCATGATCTTGGTTACAGTGTTCTGTTGTAAAACCTCTTATAATACACATTTCCAGCGTGTTTCTACACTTCAAACACACCATGGATTTATATAATAGAAGAAGCTTCTGTCTCTCTGTTTATATATATTCACAGGATCATCAAGCTCAACTATTCCGGTGACTAGTAAATATATGACCGTTCTCGGAAATATTTTGAATGTTCAAGATATCATAACAGTTTTAATTAAATTTTTTGCACTTTTGCATTTCAAAACTTTTCAAACTTGAATTCCTGAATCGTTCCTGAATTCCTTTTACCCCAAAAACAATACACGCAATAAAATCAATACATACATATAAATAAACCACAAACAATTATACATGATTATAATGCGCTCAAATATTGGTATAATTTTAACGAATTCCACCAAAAATTGTATCAAAAAAAAAATAATAAAACAATAAAATCGAATTATATTAATGAAAATAAATTAGTGACTATCAAAATTGCATCTTCCAAAAAACAACAACAAAATATTAAATAAAATTGAAATAATTTTACAAATCAAATAGAATAAAAATCTTACAAACTGATTATCACAAAAAAAGTTGCAACTAAAAGCTAAACATTTTAGTTCTTAAACAAAAAAAAATATAAAAATCAATTTCAAATTTTAAAAATTTTTATAATATTTTACCAAGTCCACAAGAAAATGTGTTTAAATTAAATCTGATTTATAAGAATCTCAAAGAAAACATTGCAATGGGACAAAAAGAGATAACTATAATCTCTATTTCTCGGGAGAAGTTTTGTGGTACAAAATCTTTCAGTGGCGATCGTAAGATATTGTGATCGCCACTGAAAGATTTTGTACCACAAAACTTCTCTTAAGAAATGGAGATTATAGTTATATATTTTTGTTTTTTTTTTTTTTTTTTTTTTGCCGTGATTATTCATCTACTATTTGACTGAGGCTTTTAAGCACTTTACGTTAAATTCCAGTTCCAAAATCTGTACTTGCGGTTATTCTCAAAGTTATTTGTGATCACAATGATTTTATATTTTCTTGTGCATCTAGATCAATCTAGAAAAATACTCGTGTTTAAATTCGACCGGCCTAGGCTCCAAAATAATGAAAATGGTGCTTTTTTTTGTTAGTCATCGAAAACTGTAAAGCAAATATCAGTATAACTGATCCATTTCCATTCCCACGGCCTTAGTTATATGCCCAACTTTTCAAAATGCGAAGAATAGAAGATTGAGAAATGCGCCGACTGCAATCACAAAGTTTTATGGATGAACTGTAACATCAAGTAGCACTAACAAGTATTCTCACTATGGTGAAATTCCGATTTGTTGCTTCGACAAACCAGAGAAGTTATTACACAATTTAGATTAGGGGGATGCAACAATCCAAATTTGTATTGTTCTCTATTTGATAACACAATGCAGAACACCTGCCCAGAATGTGGCACTAACATGCGAATTAAGACGTCAGCGTTTTGTGAAAATATCTATGCTAAAGTGAACCTAGTTTTTTTCTTACAACTAAGGTTATCCGACTAAAACAAACCAGACCACTGAAAAACTCACTCGAAACGGAAGCATTCCCGGGAGAAAAAAAAACAAAACGAGCAAACTTTATTTTTCGGTTTTGCTCAAATAAGGGAGAGCAGGCTTTGCTCGTTTTAGAGTGGAAATCAAATTGGTTTTTTCTCAAACCTTGCTTGCATTGTCGGTAATTTGTACCAACAAAGCATATGATAACTTTTGGCATACTTTTTCGAGCACTGACTCAGGAGCGCTTCCACCCGTATAAAAATCCCTCTCCAAGTTTCAATACCGAGTGAAAACAGATGCACAAAATGCAAAACATGTTTCTGAAGTCTCTATACCGTAGCAGACAAAAAGACGGGAGATCGAAATTAAACAGAATTCTTATGGATTTGTTTTAACTCATTCCCAATAAACTACAAAAGAATAATTAAAATCCATTAATTACGTAAAAAAAGTTAAAATGAATACGTTAAAAATAATAATAAATGTTGGTAGTGCTAAAACATAAAAACAATTATAAAAAAATAAAAATCCAATTAAATTAAAACAATAAAGAAACAACTGATGAACACATTTTAAACACTTTTTATAATTATTTTTTTTTTACATTTTTTAAAAAAAGGAGAAATTTTAATTTTTAATCGGACACCCCGAAAAACAAAAAAAAAGTTATTGGTTTCATAGAGCACTTACGTTTTGCAATAAAATAAAATTGAAATAAATATAAACAAGTACATGTTAAGAAAGGTCAACTAAAACAGTAATAAAAAAGAAAAACAAAAAAGTTAATAAAATTGTTGTTAAATTAAATATAAATTAAAATGAAATGAAAACTAAACTTCAAAAATATTAAGCTAAGTACTAAGCCAATAAAATCAACAAAATAAATATTAAAACAAATTTCTGTTGAATTAAAATAGAAACAAATGATTTTTTTAGGTTTTCATTTAAGCAGAAAAATAACACGGAAATGGCTTCCTTTTGAAGCTGTTATTTAAATAAATTTAAAAAAAAAACTGAAATAAACATTGTTAGAAAAATTTAAATAAAAAACACAAAATATAATTAAGTGAATTAAAAAATAATGTAAAACAAGGAATCTTCTTAAATTTAAAATACAATACAAATGGACGAAATAAAAAATACATATTTAAACTAAAGCAGAAGTAATTGCAAAATTAACAATAAACCAATTTCTCAAAAACAAACAATATTAATTCAACAACAATGGAAGTAAACTATTAAATTATACATAAAGAACTACAAAAACAAGCCCTAATATTACAAAAGCAAACCCTGATGAAAAATCCCGAAAACTAATGAAAATAAACAACTAAATCATGTTAACATTACAGATAAATAAAAGAAGTATTTAACGAAACGAATTAAAAATGATCATTGAATAATTAAAACTAAATTTGAAAAAAAAAAACAACATATAAACAAACAAAACAGGAAATCACACAACAATTACATAAATGTTTAGAAGAGAAAAAAAGGAAACTGTTTTTATTTCAAATGAAAAACAAAAACTAAACAACAAAAACTGTTTGTCAACATTATGTTATTTATATATTATATAATAAAAAACAAATTAAATCCCAAAGAACCCCTTTCACATAACAAATACACGATAAACACACACACACACACACACAACTTCAAAACATGTATGTATGTGTACGTTATTATATATCGTTTTTAAAAAGAAGAAAACCCAAACAAAACCATACAACAATGTTAAAAATGAAATCAATCTAGCAAAGATTATTGATTGATTTATCAGTTATTATAATTATTATGATTATTGTATACAAACATATATATTTTATTTGATTACATTACATTTATATAAACGATATTTTTGTTATAATTATTATTATTATTATTATTATTATATATATGTATATTTGTATTATTGAGATTTTATTTGAAACAAGTGCTTGCCAAAAACAAATATTCAAACAAATTGAAGTATTGAGATGAAAAGTAATGAAACAACAACAAATTAGCAAGTATTTTGAAAACCATTAATTTTAAATAAATGAAGAAAAAACTAAATGAAAAACTGAAATATTTAATTGAAAATCTAGTTATTTTTATTCCACAAAGTCTAGTATTGGTAAGTATAAGCAAGAAAAACATGAATTTCCCCAGGATTCCGGATTTGACTTTTTGTATCCGCTACCATTAAAGAAGACAAAAATGTTAAAAACAATGCAAATTGATTTTTTTTTAATCTGGTTACATTCCTAGAAAATGGTACACCGGAAAAGGGGGAAAAAGGGGCAAAGGGGTGAACTAAAATTTTTGAAAGTCTTAAAACCTGAGAAAACTCCCATGTAAGAAAATATATGATGGGAAGATTCTTGTCCTCAATGTGAAGAACGATATGATAATTTCTTTTAATTTTTTGTTTTCAATGATTTCTCTGATATTTTATAAGATCTTTTGGTCTTTTAAAAGTTCCTTCAGCACTTCTTAACAAGATTTTCTAATAGAAGACTAGAGCAGCAGATCGTGTTCTCAGATAATACCGAACGAGAAGACATTCTGATCTTACCAGCTATTCAGACCACCAGATGTCTATGTCGTTTCAGGAATAAGAGTGAAAATGCTAGTCACTCAAATCAAAAATGCCGAATGTTGCTCTGCGGTATCACCTTTGCCGAATGTTGCTCTGCGGTATTTTGGCCCAATCGGCGAAGCGCTTGCTTGAGGTGATCCACACTTTGGCATTTTTTTAGTTTTAACCTTGTTTTCCAATATACTCCAGACACACTTAGTCCAACGGATTAGTATACGGAGAGTTTGGTGGCCACAGTGCACAACTTATGAAGCGAAGAACCTCATTTTTCAACCATTCTTGGGTGGCTTTAGTTTTCGAACCATTTGTCCTGATGTTGCTGTTTGTACAGCTGTCGGACGAGTGGCTTAGAAATGACAGCAGTCTGAAGTTGGTTGCAGTTTTTTCATCTCAACCTGTACATAAAGCGCTTATTTGGCTGATTTAAGTCATCGGCTGGCTTCTTCGGGGTATAAAAAAAGGAAGAAATGTGTTTTCGAAGTCGAGTAGGTCGACTGACTCAATCAGCATGTTGACTATTGCAAGAAAGTGCTCAAAACCACCCGGTAATAAACACAAAAGTAACATTCCATTGTCTTTATATTCATTAGACTATGGTCGGTCCCCTGGCTCTTTGGTTTTCTGTGGTTCTGGACTCCTATATAAAAAAGTCTCCTCAAGTACAACAGGAGTTCGCAATCATGGCTTGAAGATCCCCGACTAAGGACACCAGAAAATCTTCTGACATTAGATCAGAATTAGGACCGAAAGAAAAAGAAGAACTGAAAGTCTTCCCTTGAAACATGAGAATTCCATTAATACATAAAGATGTTCACAAAGAAGCTGCACAGTCGCCATAGGTAACCAGATGACATATGCATAGAAGACCAGATGATCATAAATAGTAAATAGTACCCCAGAAGAACTTTTTCAAAAGGATTTCCAATTTTCCTAATAAAAGAGTGTTCTTCTAAACCACATTACATTTCATATGTTCCCATAAAAGGGAACTTCTCAATGTTATTTTCAGAAAATATTTTCACAGAAGGCGTTATGGCCTATTACCAATAAGACAAGATGATATTTTTATAGAAAAAAATGTTGTCATAAATTTTCAGAGACACTTTCCTACCGTCTAATGTCTGTAATTTTTGCACATTCGGTAACAAGAGTAAGGCGGTTACAACAATATATTAATCTCGTTATGATGACGGTCGGTTGTATGATCCTGGAAGAATCGACCCAGCCGAGTATTAGTAGCGGTAAAAATACTGTTCCTGTATCAAAGCAGACATACTCTAATTAATTCGTTATGACCACCTGGATGAAATTTTGAAAACATTTGAAACAACTTCCAATAAATATATTTATATTAAACTACAATCATCTAATTTTATTTTATATTTCACATTGTTACATTTTATGTGTGTTAAACATGCTATACAGGAACTATTAAAATTCTACAAAGTTGTTCGTTAAATATTTTCGAGGATTACAAATTCTCTCAGTCACTATTGATTCTACTCTTTTTTGGCATTTAGACGGAACTTTTCTTTTAGCTTGTTAAAAGCTTCTGCATCACCATCTATTTTGACATTGTTCTGTAACAAAAATAAATAAAAAAGTTAATAAACAATTACGATCAATTCGTGTTTATTAACTTACATTAGCAAGTAAATCGTCAAATGTCGTTGCTTTTGAACCAACCAAATAAAAGTTTTCATCGCTAACAGTTATTTCTGCATCGGCGTCCGTGCAAGTGCCCTCGTATATGTTTAATTCTTTAAAATCAAAAACTTTTGAGATATCAATTAATAAGCAAGTAAAGCAAATCCCACAAAAAATGCACACATGTTCTGTCAAGTAATCCCAATTGCAGCAAGCCAATACATACCCATACTTTTAATTAGGTTGCCATCTGAATCAGTGAAATGAAATTGAAATACATTTGTTACACTGCGATTCGAAGGATCAGATTCCTGAAGTTTATTGCGCATTTTATCAATGATCTCATCACTTTTCATCTTGACTCCGATATTAGTTGAGGACAATAAATTACAAAAATATTTCTTTGCAGAAAACAAAATCTGTTGTTTATTCGCCCAATGTCTATGATAAACTAAAGATTTATTTTGCCCTGCAATCAAATGTTGATTATATGAGTTATACATGATAGACAACAGATATATAGTCTGTCATCAATTAAAGATAAATGTATAATGTCTGCTACTATCGCTGACGTTTATTTTTTTTTTTCTTTTTATTTCATTTTGCTTAAAAATGGTAGCCCATTCATTTGCTACACATTGCAAGTTACATATTTGTCAATATGTTTATAGCTTCAGTATATTTTGCATAATTCTTAATTAAACCCAATTTTGCAGATTATTGGATTGCAAGAGGGCGTAGGGAAATACATACATACCTACATATATGTCTTCTTTTAAATGTTATGAGGGAGCAGTCAAATGTTTTTTTTTTATTTCTTTTTTGATAGTCTTACAGAATGAATGAAAACTAGTCTACTTATATATAAAATTAATTAAACCTAACTTACATAGGCTACTATAATATTTAAGGTTTCCATAATTTCAGCAGACCATCTTCACTGTAGGTGGCTAATAAATTTTGGTGTGGGTGATGGGCCAAACCGATTACATCTTTTTCATGTACCTTTAAAATAAAATTGGCAACAATGTAAAACCAAAATTCAATCAGATCACTCTTAATATACTTACATTTAAAGTTCTTTCCAATTTTCCCGACGAAACGGAAAAACAATACAACACTTGATCCTCTCCAGCACAATAAATGAATTCTCCTCGGGGTGATAATGTTGCTGCTATAAATGCACCGCCTTCTCTTTTACCGGAACTAAATGACCTCACAATCTGTCCAGCCATATTCATAATGACCACAGTATTTGAACGATTACAAACAATGAAATGTTCAGGATTTTTGGGTAAAATTAACACTGTATTGACGGCCAACTCATTGCCAAGAGGTTTGTAGGTAGATAAACATTCAGTGGTTTTCAAAGACCAGATCTTTACAGTTCCATCCGATGAAGCACTGAGTACACTATGACCGTCTGGTGTAAATGTTACCTCATTTACAAATGAAGTGTGCCCTTTAAATTCTTTAAGCATTTTTCCGGACTTGAGGCCGTGCAGTCGTATTGTGTGGTCGAAAGACGCACTTAAAACCTGACTGTTATCACGTGAAAATTGCAAACATGTTATACCCTTAGTATGGGCTTTGTCAAATTTTCTCAAACACTGGCCAGTCATTATGCGCCATACCTTTATTTGGCCATCCTGTGATCCGGACGCAACCATTTCGGAATCTCGCGAATAGGCCAATGCCAGAACAGCTTGTTCCATCATCATAAACTGATCTTGTGCTTGATATTTCAAATCCTTTCTTATTTTACCGGTTGTGAAATTCCAAACTTCTATGAAACCATCAACACTGCCTGTTATGAGATATTGACCATCAGGTGAAAATTGACCACACTCCACGTGAGATTTTTGACCGAACTTTATTTGACGAAACATTTGTGTTGGATACATTTCTTCTTCTTGATCTTTCATTGCGGCCTTACCACGGAACAAATCGATCGTTGTTCCAGGCGGTAATAAACCTTGATGTTGTTGCCACTTCAATGCTTGGCCAAGTAAAGCTAAGAGACGAGATGATGGCACTACGTGTACTTCACCGCTTAACTCTTGAGCAATGGTATGTCGACGTTTCTCTTTGCTGCTGTTTTCCGGATAAGCTTCTCGAGGATCAAAATAGGCCCGCTGAAGCATATTTTCTAAAAACAAAAGTAAAGGCGAAATAGGATTAGTTAAGTAATTAATTTAATCGTCTGATAATTTAGTCTGTTTTTATTACTAAATAAGCAGCATCCGAAGAAATAATCTTGAGCAAAAATGAGAAATAACCTACACCATAATTAGGATCTAGCATAATGGAATAAATAAATTAATAATGACGGTAAATCTTTAAAACTGAGCTATATTATTTTCTAAGATTTAAGGGCTACATTTCACGTTTGTATTATCTGCCGAGAAAAAAAATTTGTTAACTTCGGTAGTTAAGTTAAATATCTCTTTTTTCCAAGATTTGTCCATTTCCGTATACGATTAAAAGCTAATAAAACCCTCTGAATTTGTTGAAATGGTAATTGACCGATTAAGTACGCCTTAAAAAACCACTATATTTACGCTCAAAAGGGACTTTATTCCCCGCATATTATTCCAAGACCCTTCCTTTGGCTGTGGTTTCGTAGGTAGTAGATAGAGGCAGTAAGAATTTCGTTAATCTTCAGGATAGTTGAGCAGAATGTCGGGAGTCCTTTTTTATGTGGCTCTTCTTCCTTGCAGGATTTTACAACTTTGCTAACAATCTTCTCATAATACTAAGCGTTTCTTACAAATATGCATCTCTCGTGCCACTTGGAGAGTCAAAACTTACCCAAATGTATGTACCGTTCCGGTTCCTGTTGCTTTAACATTATCATTGGATCTGTTTGTCGCAGTAATGAACGCGCTGCACCCAACTCTCGTAGTTCTATTAATTCGAGAACTATTTGTTCATATAAATTCAACAATTTTTTGTCTGGCAATTTGAGACTCTGTGTCACTTTAAGTACTGTATCCCAATGTCCGTTTGTTATGTCCTGGACAAAGCCATCAACACTGTCGACGGTGTTAAGGGAAACCCCGGTTTCCTCCTGCAGAGTTTGAAGGGTTTTGTACAAATTGGACTCCTTGAGATATTGTTGTATCAAGCGGATAACACTGAAATAAAATGCAAGTAAATAAATGCAATTTCAATTGAAAATATATTTTCTTACTCAGCAGATTCTATTTCGATGGACATGGTTGATCGGAGTTATTGTTTAACGTTTACAATAACTAATTAAACTAAATTAATAAATTTGTATTTTATATATATTAAAATTCAGGTTGTTTTGTTTTCTCCAAGTCTCGTTCAGACAACGACCGGGTGGATTTTTTACGACGGCGGCGCTCTACTAATTTTGTCGGCGTCTGGAAAAGGGCTCCAGAATATTAAAAATAACCGCTCAAAGGGTTCTAAAAACACACGTTTCTTCCACCAAAACAGCTGTTTGTTCACTGCAGGAAGGGAATAACGAGTGTGTGTGTGGGAAGTCAGGGTTGCAATTCCTTTGAGCAAAGTCATGCAGACATGTCACAAGAATGAATTCGATACGAAGTGATTTTAATTTCGTATTTAGCTTCTTCAGAAAATGTAAATCTCAAAATTTATTCGATTTGAAACCAATTTTGTTTTTGCAAGTGAAATTGTATTTTTATGGAAACTTGTGACAGAACAGTGTGGCTTGTTTGTTCGGGATATCGTAGTATTTTGTTGTTGCAAAATGGTCTGGCTTTATCCCTTTATTGTTGTTTTTATAAAAACAACGTTTGTTTATTAGTGGAGAACGATGGTAATGTTTACCAGGGGGTAAGGCAGGGAATACCTAGGTTTCGGAAAGAGCCACCAATCCTCATCAGTTCCCTTGTTTTTGTCTGGGATATTCTCCCCAGAAGTTATTTTAAAAATAACTTCTATGACAAAAAACATTTTTTTACCCAAGTGACGAGATCGTAAGCTCAATAGAAGAGGAACCAAAGACTTAAATAAAACTAAAATTCTCTTGGAAAGTCTTCTAAATCTTACAACCGCACTTATAAACATTTACATCTTTCTCCACTTGTTATGCTTTCGTTCAGCCTGAACGAAGTAGCATAACCATGTAAGTTGGTTTTGTCTGTTACAACAAAAACCCCTTCGTCGACCGTGCCTTGTCTATTAATAGAACAGTGTGGCTTGTTTGTTCGGGATATCGTAGTATTTTGTTGTTGCAAAATGGTCTGGCTTTATCCCTTTATTGTTGTTTTTATAAAAACAACGTTTGTTTATTAGTGGAGAACGATGGTAATGTTTACCAGGGGGTAAGGCAGGGAATACCTAGGTTTCGGAAAGAGCCACCAATCCTCATCAGTTCCCTTGTTTTTGTCTGGGATATTCTCCCCAGAAGTTATTTTAAAAATAACTTCTATGACAAAAAACATTTTTTTACCCAAGTGACGAGATCGTAAGCTCAATAGAAGAGGAACCAAAGAATTAAATAAAACTAAAATTCTCTTGGAAAGTCTTCTAAATCTTACAACCGCACTTATAAACATTTACATCTTTCTCCACTTGTTATGCTTTCGTTCAGCCTGAACGAAGTAGCATAACCATGTAAGTTGGTTTTGTCTGTTACAACAAAAACCCCTTCGTCGACCGTGCCTTGTCTATTAATAGAACAGTGTGGCTTGTTTGTTCGGGATATCGTAGTATTTTGTTGTTGCAAAATGGTCTGGCTTTATCCCTTTATTGTTGTTTTTATAAAAACAACGTTTGTTTATTAGTGGAGAACGATGGTAATGTTTACCAGGGGGTAAGGCAGGGAATACCTAGGTTTCGGAAAGAGCCACCAATCCTCATCAGTTCCCTTGTTTTTGTCTGGGATATTCTCCCCAGAAGTTATTTTAAAAATAACTTCTATGACAAAAAACATTTTTTTACCCAAGTGACGAGATCGTAAGCTCAATAGAAGAGGAACCAAAGAATTAAATAAAACTAAAATTCTCTTGGAAAGTCTTCTAAATCTTACAACAAAAAAAAAAAAAAAAAAAAAAAAAAAAAAAAATGTTTTTTGTCATAGAAGTTATTTTTAAAATAACTTCTGGGGAGAATATCCCAGACAAAAACAAGGGAACTGATGAGGATTGGTGGCTCTTTCCGAAACCTAGGTATTCCCTGCCTTACCCCCTGGTAAACATTACCATCGTTCTCCACTAATAAACAAACGTTGTTTTTATAAAAACAACAATAAAGGGATAAAGCCAGACCATTTTGCAACAACAAAATACTACGATATCCCGAACAAACAAGCCACACTGTTCTATTAATAGACAAGGCACGGTCGACGAAGGGGTTTTTGTTGTAACAGACAAAACCAACTTACATGGTTATGCTACTTCGTTCAGGCTGAACGAAAGCATAACAAGTGGAGAAAGATGTAAATGTTTATAAGTGCGGTTGTAAGATTTAGAAGACTTTCCAAGAGAATTTTAGTTTTATTTAATTCTTTGGTTCCTCTTCTATTGAGCTTACGATCTCGTCACTTGGGTAAAAAAATGTTTTTTGTCATAGAAGTTATTTTTAAAATAACTTCTGGGGAGAATATCCCAGACAAAAACAAGGGAACTGATGAGGATTGGTGGCTCTTTCCGAAACCTAGGTATTCCCTGCCTTACCCCCTGGTAAACATTACCATCGTTCTCCACTAATAAACAAACGTTGTTTTTATAAAAACAACAATAAAGGGATAAAGCCAGACCATTTTGCAACAACAAAATACTACGATATCCCGAACAAACAAGCCACACTGTTCTATTAATAGACAAGGCACGGTCGACGAAGGGGTTTTTGTTGTAACAGACAAAACCAACTTACATGGTTATGCTACTTCGTTCAGGCTGAACGAAAGCATAACAAGTGGAGAAAGATGTAAATGTTTATAAGTGCGGTTGTAAGATTTAGAAGACTTTCCAAGAGAATTTTAGTTTTATTTAATTCTTTGGTTCCTCTTCTATTGAGCTTACGATCTCGTCACTTGGGTAAAAAAATGTTTTTTGTCATAGAAGTTATTTTTAAAATAACTTCTGGGGAGAATATCCCAGACAAAAACAAGGGAACTGATGAGGATTGGTGGCTCTTTCCGAAACCTAGGTATTCCCTGCCTTACCCCCTGGTAAACATTACCATCGTTCTCCACTAATAAACAAACGTTGTTTTTATAAAAACAACAATAAAGGGATAAAGCCAGACCATTTTGCAACAACGGAAACTTGTGACTTTAAAACACTCTCAAAATAATTACCAAATTTTAATGGTTTCTCAATTGACGAAGGCAATTGTTAATAAAGTGTTGCCACATTACTTTTTTTCTTGAAAATCACTTTTTTCGTCAAACAAAAATTATTCATCTGTGAAAACCAAACAATATGGTATTACTAATAATAAAATGAAGCAAAGAGAGAAAACAAAACAACATAAAAAAGGAATTTTGTACAAAAGTAAGTATTTTAAAATATGTGAAATATGTATTGTGGAATGCCGTTCAATCAATTAATCATTAATAAATATTTAAGGGGCTGGCACAGAAATTCAGCACAAGAAAAAAGGTTCATCGGTTTTATGGACCTAGCGAGTGCTATGTCAAAGATGATCGAGTGGTTGCCGAAACGAGTTGGTCACAACTCACTGAAAAACTACATTCCTCGGGACCACCCATCAAAGATTGCAATGGGTGGAAAAAGACAAGGTAAGGTTGGACAGTATACGTTAAAAAAAATTGTATCACAATAAAAAGGAAAAGACAAAAACTGGTTATGGTCCTTTTAACAAATATGTGCTCAGTGAAATTGAGGAGTCAATTGCATTGTTTCTTTTTGCACAAAAAAACTCTTTTAAACAGAATACCTACACTTGTATATTATTTCTAATTACATGTTTTGTTTTGATTCCTCATGCATTCCTTCTTTCATTCCCCTAATTTTACCATATTTAATATATAATGTTGCCATATTTGCACTGAAATCGTAGTTTACCAAATCGTACGAAATCTGAAGAAGCTAAAATAAAAACGAACGATTTTGAATTACGGAATTCAACCCATTTCGATACGATTTTGTGACATTGACACTGATTCTTCAAATACCATCGAAAGTATCAACGGAACGTAGCCTAATTATAAAGCAACATTACCGACATCTGGTGTATAGAACCACGCACAATAGATGTCTTTCATTTTTCAATTTCTTGATGAATTTTTTTAGTCGAAAGATATTTTTTTGTTAACTAGCGCCGTTTTAAGTAAAGTAAGTCACGTTTTGTAATTTCCAATATATTTAAACGGAATTCTATTTAATTAATAAGAACACACACGCTGTTTTACTTGTAATGTTTTTTTTTTTAATCAAAGAGAAAAACAAACATATGCTACAACAAAAAATAATAAATTGGAATATGTAGTTAGAGGTAATAACAACGGATTTGTTTGTAGCTTAAATAAATTATAATACATAAGAAAAGACCCCAATAGTTGTATGTATTATATTCTCTAAGTGCATATCGTATCTTTCTTGAACAATTAATACTTATATAAGAAATTGTCTTACTAATAGGTATATTTATTACACTATACATATATATTATTAATATTATTGTTGTTGTTGCTGATAATGAATAATATATTTTAGTTTATTATAGATGTCTTATTTAGATGTTGTTGCTTGGGAAAGGAATTGATTTGTAACACACATTTTAATTTAGAACAACAAAAGGTTCAAAAAAATGGAATAACTTAAATGTTCTCAACATCTGAAAGAGGAGAAAGAATAAAAATTGTCTAGTCTTTTGTGTTGACAAATACAAGTACTAATAAAAATAATGCTGGTACATTGTGCATCACAATTTAATTATCCTTCTTCATTCTGGTTGAAGTCATACGGTAAATGATGGAATCACGTCCAGGATCCATTGAACCGATGGCGTAGCAAATAGCCAACAAGGCGAAGCCGAATGGCAATTGTTAATAAAGTGTTGCCACATTACTTATTTTCTTGAAAATCACTTTTTTCGTCAAACAAAAATTATTCATCTGTGAAAACCAAACAATATGGTATTACTAATAATAAAATGAAGCAAAGAGAGAAAACAAAACAACATAAAAAAGGAATTTTGTACAAAAGTAAGTATTTTAAAATATGTGAAATATGTATTGTGGAATGCCGTTCAATCAATTAATCATTAATAAATATTTAAGGGGCTGGCACAGAAATTCAGCACAAGAAAAAAGGTTCATCGGTTTTATGGACCTAGCGAGTGCTATGTCAAAGATGATCGAGTGGTTGCCGAAACGAGTTGGTCACAACTCACTGAAAAACTACATTCCTCGGGACCACCCATCAAAGATTGCAATGGGTGGAAAAAGACAAGGTAAGGTTGGACAGTATACGTTAAAAAAAAATTGTATCACAATAAAAAGGAAAAGACAAAAACTGGTTATGGTCCTTTTAACAAATATGTGCTCAGTGAAATTGAGGAGTCAATTGCATTGTTTCTTTTTGCACAAAAAAACTCTTTTAAACAGAATACCTACACTTGTATATTATTTCTAATTACATGTTTTGTTTTGATTCCTCATGCATTCCTTCTTTCATTCCCCTAATTTTACCATATTTAATATATAATGTTGCCATATTTGCACTGAAATCGTAGTTTACCAAATCGTACGAAATCTGAAGAAGCTAAAATAAAAACGAACGATTTTGAATTACGGAATTCAACCCATTTCGATACGATTTTGTGACATTGACACTGATTCTTCAAATACCATCGAAAGTATCAACGGAACGTAGCCTAATTATAAAGCAACATTACCGACATCTGGTGTATAGAACCACGCACAATAGATGTCTTTCATTTTTCAATTTCTTGATGAATTTTTTTAGTCGAAAGATATTTTTTTGTTAACTAGCGCCGTTTTAAGTAAAGTAAGTCACGTTTTGTAATTTCCAATATATTTAAACGGAATTCTATTTAATTAATAAGAACACACACGCTGTTTTACTTGTAATGTTTTTTTTTTTAATCAAAGAGAAAAACAAACATATGCTACAACAAAAAATAATAAATTGGAATATGTAGTTAGAGGTAATAACAACGGATTTGTTTGTAGCTTAAATAAATTATAATACATAAGAAAAGACCCCAATAGTTGTATGTATTATATTCTCTAAGTGCATATCGTATCTTTCTTGAACAATTAATACTTATATAAGAAATTGTCTTACTAATAGGTATATTTATTACACTATACATATATATTATTAATATTATTGTTGTTGTTGCTGATAATGAATAATATATTTTAGTTTATTATAGATGTCTTATTTAGATGTTGTTGCTTGGGAAAGGAATTGATTTGTAACACACATTTTAATTTAGAACAACAAAAGGTTCAAAAAAATGGAATAACTTAAATGTTCTCAACATCTGAAAGAGGAGAAAGAATAAAAATTGTCTAGTCTTTTGTGTTGACAAATACAAGTACTAATAAAAATAATGCTGGTACATTGTGCATCACAATTTAATTATCCTTCTTCATTCTGGTTGAAGTCATACGGTAAATGATGGAATCACGTCCAGGATCCATTGAACCGATGGCGTAGCAAATAGCCAACAAGGCGAAGCCGAATGTTACCATGAACCATAAGATGATGTTGAAGATTACTGGATAATCTTGGTTATAGTATTCAGCCAAGTTGTAATCCTAAAATTAAAAGAAAAAAATAATTGTATTGTAAAGGTAAAGTTGAAATAAATGTTGTAAACACATGATTTGTTTTCCTTAATTACGTCAGGTCAGTCATATGTGTTTTAACTGTCCGTCATATGTGAAAAAAGTACACATGAGCCAAATTACATATTTTCTTCTTTCACATATACTATTTGAGTGCGTTCTCTAAGGGCATAACTTAGGGAAGTAATGAATTTCCGTGGCGTGATTTTCCCATTGATACATTCATGTTTTCTTCCATATAAATTAAACGAAGCTAACTTTAAAATTAATGGTTCAATACTCTTAACTACAACATATTGTAAAAATCTTCGATGGGAACAAAAATTCTACCACAATGTTCGTCTTAGCACCACTTTTTTTCTATAGAATATATTTCTTTACTAATTATATTTTATCCAAGCTAATGTTTCCAGTAGCTACAAGGCAATTCCTCTTAACCTCGGCTATAAAATACCTATGTAACCAAATATGTTCTACACATTAAAAAAATTGATTTAGAATATGCTGTTGATATGCAGTATTTAAAAAAATGTGAATATATTCATGCCATGATTGTGAAACTTTCTAAACTTTAATAATTCTTAACAAATAGAATACCTTCTAAACTTATTTAAAGTGAAGAACACAATAACTTCTAATAATTGTGATAAAAATTGATCTGATTCTGCCCCACTTCTTATTGACTTGGTCGAATGTTTGTTTCAGTGATATACTTACTTTGCCTGGTTCAGGAACATCCCGTTTAGCGCGGGAATTTTCCGATTTGTTGACAATGGACAATACCAAGGCTTCGTTGTTATTGACCTTTTGGGCAGCAGTATTCAAGTTCTTGACAGCAGATGTGAAGAGATCCAAGGCTTCATTCACAGCTTCTGATTTCTCACCATGAGCTTTAGCAACAGACTCGGCAGACAGACGGAAGGAAACAAAGTTGCAGGTCTTTTGCAACTTAGCCAAATTATCGGCAGCAGCATTGATGTATGCAATAGCTTGGATAAATTGCTTATCAGCAGAATGCAATTCACTGTTCAAATATTTGGTATTTGGGACAGAATTAACTTGCACATCACCAAAAACACTCTTGAAGCTGGCTACACCTTCTTCCAAATCTTCAAAGTCGATATCGCAAACAGGTTCATTATCAGCTTCCAATTGGGCAGAGACACCGTTCAAAGCTTCCTTTACCGAGTTGCCTTGAATTTCGTAACTCTTGCCGGCTCCGGAAACCTTAGTATGAGCAACACCACTCAATGAGGCAGCAACAACAACCTTGGGGAAATTGAAAGGGTCGTCAACTGTCAAACCAGACCATTGTGCGTCTCCAGCTACGGAATTACCCAATGAGGCATAGACAACATCGCCAACATATTGGCTTGGTAGTGGCTCGTTACCCTTGAATGACAAGGACTTGGGTGTGCTCAAAACGGTGAATTCACCCGATGCACTAACTGCAAATAAAAAGGAAACAGTTTAATGCATATTTAAGAATTATTTTTATCAATTGCTTATAGATATCTTCCACTATGGATTTTTTTTCTTTTTTCAGTGCAACCCCAATTTTACATGACACATACACACAGATACAACACTTTACTTTGTTGTGATTTTTACACTTTTCTTGCAACATTTTCCATATATTTTCTGGACATTTTTACAAAATACACATAGTTTTGGATATATTTTTAATTATTTTTTCAATTTTACTTACTTGCCACTATGCACAAAGATAAAATTATTAAATTTCGCAGCATTTTTGTTCGTGATCATATGACAATCGACAAACGGGAGACGACAACCTACGGATATTTTTTCTACTCTGCAATGACATCAGGGTTGCATTTGGTCACATGATGTAAAGAGAGATGTGTTCATTTAGCACTATTTAGAAATGAACTAAATAAGGGCGTATGTAATGTCAACGATAAAGAAAATTATAAGATGTTGTCAAAAACTAGATTATTTTGTTTTAATGTGTAAATTGACAATATTTGGTAATGCAAGCCACACACTATACAACTGGATGTACAACTTGGAGAGTTCTCAAATTGTGTGTTTTTGTCACAAACGATACAACTTCTTTGTACAACTTCACTTTTCGTAGAGCTTATTTAAGTTAAGATGACACCGGAAAAAATTCATGCTCTATAATTGACTCAATAGCTTTTATTTATAATTAATTTTTGAAATTCCATTTTATAAATTGAAATTCATTTTTATAAATACATTAAAATCACATATTTGATTGGATTTCGTATTGTTTTGATGTGCGAAACAATGGTGTTGCCTCTTCAAAAATAAAAACAAAATGAAATTGTATGCGACATGCCCACTAACGTTAAAATCGGTTGGTACAACATGCCAAATATCAAAAAATTTTGATTTTTCATACAACCGAGACACAACTTCGTACAACCGGGCCACAAACGATACAGCCTTGAATACAACCTCTCCCAGTTGTACAACCAGTTGTAACGTGTGTGGCTTGCATAAGAAACAAATATTGTTTTACAAAAAATTAAGTTAAATCGTATGATCGGTTATTTATATTGATTTAATTTTTAAGATATGGACCTGGGTAATACCTCCAAACAAAGTAAAAAGAAAAGAACACTGCAAAAACTATACGGGAACGGAAATGATGCAACATTGAGCAAAAACGTCAAAATCAATCATAATATAGTTGAAAGACATGTGTTTTTGCAGATTTTTTGATGCATCTCAATAAGAAAATTAAAGGCGATTTACAAAATATAACAAATTTGTCCATTATTGATATAAACATCAGGTACTAAAATGGTAGAATTAAGAAGGTAAAGTCAAGCAATCATATGTTTACATTTTTTTTAATTATTAATTTGACAACATTTCATTGTCAAAATGTTTATTTATAAATCCATTTTACATTTACAAATCAGAGATGGAAATCTTATTTCTATTTTTTAATTTTTACAGCGCTATCATGGTTGAAGAATACAGGTAGATCCATCAACGGTTAGAAACATTGATATGTCAAAATTTTTGAAAGGTTTTCTTTTTTTTAAATAAGTAGGTTTTTATACGTTCTGCTTATTTTTTCAAAAATAAGCAGTTTTTATGAGACACCAATCGGACATTGTTTTGATATGCATTCTTCAACAACTTTTACAAATTTGAATAATTTTTCATTTAAAATTTTCAATTTCAGAATTGGTTTGACAGTTCATTGTCCCAGCAGTTGGTTCGATGGGACTACCTGTATTCTTCTACCATGAACGCTATCTAGAATTCGAAGCATCGTACACAAATGTTCAAAACCCTCAAATGTAATATTTTTCAATGTAATATTTTTCAAAACAATAATGTTCTGTTCGAGAACTGCAAGAATGTACAACTTTTTAATTTTTACTACGATAAGAATTGTTATCGAACAAATTTACAAAACTAGTAGATAATTGCTGGTTCTGGAACAGAGTATATATCATGGTAGAATAAAGAAGGCAAAGTCATGCAATAATGTGTTTACTTTTTTTTTTGCAAAATTATTAATTTGGCAACATTGTCAAAAAGTATATTTACAAATCCATTGTATATATGTTCATTAATCAGAGTTGGGAACCTGTTTTCTATGCAGTGAAGTTTGACAAGGTAAATTACAGAAAATGTAGAGATGTATATGATTATTTGAAATATTTTACCTTCTTAATATTACCCATGGAAAGTAAAGTCATGCAATCATATGTTTACAATTTTTTTATATTATTCATTTGACAGCATTTCATTGTCAAAATGCATATATATGAATTCATAGTACATACAGAAATCAGAGACGGGAACCTTTTTTTCTTTGGAGTAAAATTTGACAAGGCAAATTACAGAAAATGCAGAAATGGGTATGCTTATTTAAAATGACTACCTTCTTAATTTTACCATGCAATAAATACAAAAACAAAATTAAGAAGGTAAAGTCATGTAACTTACATTGTCAAATTTCACTGCATAGAATATTGGTTCCCATACCTGATTTCTGTGTATACAATGGATTTGTAAATATAAAGTTTGACAATTGGATGTTGTCAAGTAACTAATTTTGAAAAAATTGTAAACATATGATTGCATAGCTTTACATTCTTTCAACCATGGGCACACTCAGAGAAAGCTGTAATCATCTGGTAGCTTTACCTTATCTTTTTATTTTACCATGAATTCTACCTCCCGTCATTGTACCATGCTCGTCCTTGCAGTGAACAAAAGTTATTTCAATGAGATAAAATCGTCTCTCAGAAAAAAATTTTTACGAACTCTTGACCTTCTAGAGTTCTTAAGACCAAATTTTTCGAACTTCTAGAAACCTATTTCTTATGGTTTTTGATTGGATTGTTATGTTTATCACTCATTTCCTCTTGTGTCTTCTTTTCAATTGTCCGGCTTGACAGCGAGCGACAACTTGATTTAATAAATTCCATCGTTCAGAACGAAATCAAAGAAATCTGCGATTGTGCGAGTCGACCCAGTGCGATAAATTAAATAAACAGTCTGATACTGACTGCCGATTAGATTCTGATTTATAAAACATTTAATTTCAGAAGATATGGACGGAACCTGGACATTGAGTAAAGCCCAAGACCTAATCCAATCATGTATGTTACCGCAATTGAGGGAGGATTTGGACAACATTCCAATAGAGCCGGAGCACTTTAAATCATATCATGAATGTCTACGAATACAGCTGCCCTTGTTGTATGACTGGATTGAGCAAGTCAAACCATGGGATGGGTGTCCAGAGAAAAATGAAGAAGTCGACCTACAGGAGGTATGAATAAGCATTTTCATATCTTCCGTTGTAAAGGAAGGATAGATAATAGATCTTTAAATTTGTAGGCACAGGCACAAGTCATATTACTGCTTTGCGAATTGTCAGTAAAAGATACTTTGTACTGTATTGATCAGACGGAGTTGTTAAACAATGCTGAGAGAATTCTTCAAAGGTTTTCAAACGTCCCGAGAGTGGTACATGCCAAATTGTTAAGATACTACCAAGAGAAATTGCACAAAGATACTTGGAAAAGGCAAATGGGAGCTACAAATGGCTTTGTAAAATATCTTAAGGTATAAAGTTCTTCCGTTCCAATTTCCTTGTTTTGATATCTTACATATTTAAGGTTTTTGCGTCCTCCTCTTGTCCGGATAACTTTATGGACAAACAACTGCTCATGTTTTGTTTATCTGTTGGTCTTAATATCAGAACATGTTACGAAACCCATTACAAGTTTTTAAGCACGCAAATATTTGAAATAATGCTCCAGCAAGGGGTAATGAAAACTAGAAAATCGTCATATCGAATGTATATTGTATTCTAGTTTGTTTTAGAATTTTGATGAAATCCTTGCCATGAACATTCATAGTGTAATCTACGATGCTATATTTAAAGATTTACACATAATGGATTCAATTGAATTTATTCAACACCAATGGGATTGTTTATTAAAATGTTTTGATTTCTACAATGATATGGATAGTTTTACGGTATGTTTGAAGATTTAATAACGTTTCATATTCAACATTCATCAAAATTTAATTAAATTATATTTTTTAGTGGAGTAAGTTGGACGATTCTTTAGAAATCTTGTTGCGGAATATACCACTTGCTCCCAATAGCATGTCTTCGATAAAATTAATGAAATATGTCAGTATATTTCTTGTATTTTTCAATATAAATCGAATCGAGTTCAATGATTGTCTTAATATGGATTTGATGGATATCGAAACAACCAACAAGCTACGTGTTCTTGGCAGTAGCAACACAAGTTATACATGTTACAGATGGGCGAAAACTATATTGCAAATGTTTATACTGGAATCGTACCGATTAATGCAAAACATGAATATTTGTATGGATATGTTGATGGTATGAATTGTTCTTTCTATAACCAATGATCAGTTACCAAGTTTTGTATATTCAGGAAATACATCGTTGTTATGTTGTCGCCACATTTCCCATAAATCTGGCTGTGATTGAACCACATTTAACAACATTTTTTGATAAGTTTACAGCAGTCCTAATGGAAGTTATAAAAGTACAAAAATGTGATAAAAACGTAATGCAGGTAAGAAAATAAGACAATAAAATAATTCGTAAATAATTTTTTTCCTAATTCCAGGTGATTACAATGATTTTCGAATCCTTTTATTATCATCTCAAGGAATGTAATGACCAATCCAAATTATTTAAATATAAAAAAGCCTATTACAGCCTGTTACATACTGATACATTTAAGAAATATGTTAATGTGAAAAATATTTTGTAATTAATATATGATATTGTAAATCATTTATATTGTTTCTTCTTAACCATGGTTCATATCTGTCATTAATACATTCGTATATTACTTGTGTTTCTACATACTTAATTTTGAGTTCCACCTGTATCCACTTTGCTAAATCCGTTTGGCAAACTCTCAATAGAAACATCAGTTAGAAAGGGCAATTATTTAGGTGTCTCTTTAAATTGGAATATCCTTTAAATTTTTTGGGACATGTATTACGATTATTTAAATCGTTCAAAATGCCTGAAAGCTTTCGGTTAATTTCATTTCATACAATTGTTTCTTACACTCTATTTCGGTCCTTATTTTTTGTAGTTCTTCTTGCAGTTTTTTGCGTTTTTCTTCCAAAGCCAATAGTTCTATTTCTTTGCATTCGAGGATTCGACAAAATTCTTGAAATGTATTATTGGCTAGATCTATTAGGGATTGCGACGTGTTATAAATATCCGTTTGACTGATAATGGTTTCGGCTTCCTTGGTGGATATAGATTTGTTGCAATTTTGATGCTCTGCCATAACAAAAAGTAACAAGCTAATTTTTAATATAGAAATATATATATATATATTTAAATTTTTTATGAAATATGACTGAAGATATTTTTTGTTCTTTATGACCAATATTTCCAGGATAGCCAATTTCTCAGTTTTTATTATCCTGATTTTCATAAGACAATTGCAAAAATTTAATTTCTTTTAAAAATCTCTTTTATTTTTCTTATTTTATGTGAATGATAATTCGAAAAAAAAATGAAATGAATTCCGCCTATTTACATATAAACTGCACTGAGAAAACCCGGTTTAATTTGCTATTTAAATGTCAACACTACAATGAATCATTTTTGGCGAGTAACCATATTCGCTTTCGATACATCACCATTTTCTATACGAATAAAATACACCCAAATTTTAATCGAATTACATTTTACTAAAATACAACAATAATTCGCATAAACATTGCGAATAAAAGTTTATTCGTTAATAGCAATTACCCGCCATCCTATATACCAATTCAGGCAAATGAGTGATAATGAGAGCGATTCAAATCGTCGGAAGCGAAGCAGTCTAGTATGGCAATATTTCGAGAAATTAGGTGACTCTCGGGTCAAGTGTAGGATTTGTAGACATGAACAACGTTACATGGGTAACACAGCCAATGCATTGAGGCATTTAAAAGTCAAACATGATATCGATGCCAGAGCTTGCGGACTAAGTGACCCGGAAAATGTTCGCAAAATGAAAGCACTATCCGTTTCGGCCTCACATCTGGAAAAAACTATAGCTGTTATACAGAAAGGACAACAGTTCGAAAACAACTATAGCAACAAGCAGGTTAATGATAACGGCCAGAATGAGCTTCCGGAAATTAAAGAAAAACTGTTCTGTCATAACCGCCAAAGTGGGGAGGCGGCCATACATACTGTCGATGAAATAGATCCATACAATTCCGGTAGTGAGGTAAAAATGATCCAGTTTTATACCCAAATTTATAAATAAAATAGCTATATTTGTAGCTGTATTTGGATCTAGAAGGAAAAGAAGCTTACTTTTCCGAAGAACATTCAAAGGACCGCCTCAATATAGAACACCAACCTGATCGCCCAGCATCTAATACCAATATGTCATCTGCCACTAAAAGAAGGATATTGTTAGAGGAACGGCGAATTATAGCTGAAACTAATTACTACCGTGAAAAAGCAGAGTATTTTCGCATTCAAAAACACTTGGCTTTTTTGCAGGCAAAAAAGATTAAATATGAACTGGAGCAATTATACGGAAAATAAATGATTATTGTATATATTTGAGCAATGGATACTCGCTGTGAAAATATTGTATTTGGTTAAAATACAGCTCCGTATCCCTGGCATTACTATAGTCACAGATAGAGCTGAAGCGTTAGATTTTGGCCGGATGGACGTTATTGGGATGGTGCATAATTTTGTAGTTATTGTTTTTATGCGCGGAGCAGTTGTGTGGAATGTTTATTCTCGAGTAAAGTTTTAGTCTGACGCTGGAGCGCGCACCAATTAGTTTTTGCAATTATTCAGAATGTTCATTCATCAATCAACAACACATACAAATGAGAAGAGGTTTATTTTCGGCACGGTAATTGTAATAGAAACCTTTCAATCGGCTGATAATCCATAGTGATTAACTACAGTGGATTCGCTCGGTAAAATTATAGACACATTTTAAATCAAGTCCAAACAATGATAAATGTTAAGACCATATTTTATATCCACTGCTTATTGGTTTCCAATAAGAAATATTTTCGACCCTAAGATGACAATGTAATACTATGGATTGATCGCTACAATACTTACATTTGAATAGAAAGTATGATTTTCGGAATATGGGTTGAAAAAAGGGATATCTACTCTATTCATGAAGAATTAGTTGAGCACAAAGTAACATTTTAAACATCGTTTGCGTCAAAGTGGATTCCATAGTTTATCTGTATTGCTTGTAGGTTTCCAATATAAAATTTGAATTAAACGAATTCGCTAATCTTTGTATTTTAATCAGTCCACTCTCAATCACAAAACAATCATATGTATATTTGATTTTATACAGCTTAGTATACTATTTACTTTACAATTGTTAGATATTTATATTAATAGGTTTATGTATAAAAATATTAACGCTATTCCTTTTATGATTATGACAATTCTATATCAAGGTTTAGCTCTTAAATTTTTAGACGAATGTTCTTATATTAGAGTTAAAATGAACAACTAAAGAATTAATTACGCTCCACCATTATTACGTTTTGTCAATTGTTCAATTTCAAGTCTTATTTTCTTGGCCTGCAGCGCTGTTAAATGTTTTTGCAGTTTGAAATAAGCTGCTTTTTCGCGGAAGTATTCAGTCTCGGCAATTACCCGTTCTTCGTCAAGTTGGGAACGTATCTTTCTTTTCATGGCTGTTGAATAGTTTTGATTTCCCCATTCATCTTCACTGACTGGATCTATAGGTGGTTCTTCTGCGCATAAATAGTTCTCAAAAGGCTACAGTAAGAGCAAAACATAAATTATGGATAAAACCAAATATAAATATTAATATCCGGTCACATACTTCCTCTTGTATGTAGGTATCATCTTGCATGTCATTTTCATCGAACGTATTACCACCATTCATTCCATCCTCTTGTGGGGGTGCTTCATTTAAGGAACTTTTTCTGGGTTTGAAATTACGTTCCACTTTTATGGCCGCTGCTGGCATAGTATATGTTTGCGGGGGCAAATTGCTTAATAGTAACCTCAAACGTTCCTGGTGCTGGGGGTCTTGCTGACCTTTTATTGTAGCATCCAGTTCGTGCTTAGATTTTAGATGCCTTAAGATATTACCCGTCGTTCCTTGATAATTCTGTTCATGGTTACACAAACGACACCGCACACGATATCTGGACAATTTTTCAAACAACTGCCAGACGAGACTTCGTTTTCGTGGACGGAACTTCTCGTCCACATTTGACGACTCGTGCTCGTTTTCACTTTCGCTCATTCTCGTCGATTCCATTCGAAACGAACTTTTTATTTGAAAAGTCCAGTTATATTTGCAACTGCACTAATTTAACAATAAACCGAGATTTTACTCGTGTAATTTGTTACCAATAGGGTAAAATCCGATAAATCTGACCGAATGGAAAATTCATGTGTATCATAAATCCGGTTTGCATTAGTGATGTGCCAATCGGTTCGATTATCGGTTGTTTTGTAGTAACCGCATGGTCGTACAAAATAACCGAATAGTAACGAACCGTATTTTTATTCGGTTTAGAAATTATTCGGGTTGAGACGTTAGTGATCAAATTTCAAAAGTTTAAATTTGAATTTTTAAATTATTATATTTATTTATTTATGTATCTAGCCGTTTCTTCATTAAATTAGATTAAAAATTTATCCTGGAGGAGAAGGCATATTGACACCCCCAATGTCAAGTATTTGCTCCACTTGAAAAAAGCTTCCGGAATAAATGACTGGCTTTTGCAATATATATATTTTTAAATTGTTGTGACCCGTTGCTACATGTTATTATCTAATATAGATTATATAAAATGATTGATAATAATAATAGCTATTCGATAATAATACGATCTTTAATATGCATGAAACATATGGAATATCTATTTCTTGACGGAAACGATAATATTGTAAAGAAAAAAACGGTATACGCCATGGTTGTGTTTCATAAATTACCACCAGCATCTGCCTAGAGAACCCTACTTGAATTTGCCGCCATAATTGTGACAACAACAACTAAACATCTGACACTTATCAAATGAACAAAAAAGTATTTTTAGCGTCGGTGTGTTTTATTCGCTTTCATTCGTGTCCTCGACGAGTACAACTACTAAAAAATAATTTGGTTTTTCTTCATTGATTACTCAATTTTGATAATTCCATATTCTAAGGTAAAATACCGATTATTTAAAGACAATAAACCAAAACAAATAGCTTCGTTGTTGTTTTTCTTTTCAAATAAATAGAAATGACTAAAAAATTAAAAGAAGTCTTAACATTCTTTGTGAAAATACACATTATATTTTTTCGTGTGAAGCATAAAGCAATGAAACTGCGTCTCATTATGGAAAACATTTGTGGCGAACACAGACTTGCGTGTCATTGGTTTGGATGAGTTGTACCAACGCGCAAATTGATGCACAACGACATTAAATTAAATATTAACTTATTTATTATCCAGCCAATTCAACTGAGATTATAATGTGATGTGTGGGTTCATTGTTCACTAATCTCTACCTGCATATAGTTTGTGCCTCACCCAAGTATTCAAGTGCTAGTTAAGAATACAATGGAATAGAAGACTTATTTGCAACATGTCTTGGAAAACGACATTATATTTTGTCGCTGTACTTTTTATTCAAAGAAATCTAAAATAATGGTGGTGTATTACATTGAAAAGATTTTCCAAAATGTATTGTGCTTCCAAAGAATTAGCTAACAAACTAGATGTTGATACAGACATTACAAAATCTAATTTCTTGTTTTTCAATGCAAATTCTAAAGTGTTTTTATTCTTACAGGACCCCCATAGAGATTCCAGAAACATGGACGAGGAGACAATGCAGGCTACGGCCTCTCTCGATCAGTCGGGATATGAGGAAGAAGATCATAATGGTCGGTCAAGTGCGGACATTTCAGTGGAACGAAAAGAACGTCGCGGTGCAAGCTATGTATGGAGCTATTGCGAGAAATTATCTCGTCAAACAATACGTTGTAAACTTTGCCAAAAAGTTATGTCTTTTCATGGTACCGCCAATGTAATAACACATTTGCAAAGACGTCACAATGTTCTGGGCGAACCAGGTTCACAATTAAACATTAAACTTGAATCCCTGCATCAGGTGAATCATATTGATAACAGTAACAGTTATGACAATGGAGCCGGAGATGTCGCAGTAAAGAAATATCCGAGAAAATCTTTAAGTTCTGCCAGTGTTGTATGGAAATATTGCACTCGTATAAGTTCGGATCAAGTGCGTTGCAGTTTTTGTAAAAAGAATTTATCCTATCAGGGGACATCAAATTTGCAAAGGCATCTACATCGCATGCATGGTGTTGTAACGCATGGACGCATTAAGCCTGCCGACGAATATGAAACAGTGCGGGAGGATCAATTCAAAATACCAGCAAATACTGATTTTATTTGGCAATTTTGTACCCAAATCAATGATGATCCACCACAAACCAAATGCAACATGTGCGATGGTGTTTTTGATTCGAAGGACACCGAGACAATAGTTAAACATTTGGCCATGATTCATTCAGTGGAAACGAATCCGGTTCACGAAAATGACAATAACAATAGAAATGTTGTTATAAGAACAAGAAAAAGGCCGAGGCACATGGAATATGTAAGTGTTTCAGATTAATTGCGATTATACTAAATTTCAGGGACTTTTTTATATTAGGAAAACAGCGAAGATGGTAACATTGAAGATTACTATAGTTCAAAATGGACCAAAGCCGATGAAGATGAAGCTCAACAGATGAGTGCCGAATTCGATGAGTCAAATATTAAGAAAGACGAATATTTATATGATGAACTTATTGAAGAGGATCATAATAATTATGATGAAGAACCATTTGACCCAAGCGTGAGTGAAAATAAATGTTCAAGCATAGCAGACACTAAGTAAATTAAATTATTTATGTTACATTTTTTACAGCTGGAGCAAGATATGCGCCAAGCAAATCCACTATCACCCCAAACATCAAGTAACAATTCACCAGATCATCAACAAACTGCTTTGACCTTTCAGCAACAATCGAATTGCTCTGTACCCATACCAAATGTCTTGCCTCCGGTAGATGTGAAGGTATTACAAAAACTACAGGAGGATCGTTTACGTATGGAAACAGAATATTTCCGCGAAAAGGCCGGATTTTATCGAATGCAAAAATACTTGACTGCTTTGCAGGCGAAAAAAACACGTTTTGAATTAGAACGCATGGCTCATGGCGAAGAAGCTACAGTTGTTACAGCAGCCGATTTAAATGGTGCATATGCTGTAGAAGTAGCCATACCTGAACATCACATGCAGGCTCAATAAATTGGTGTATAGAAATATTTTTTTCTTTCTTTTTCACTTGCGTAATCTTTATATTTTACTTTGATTTAAAGAAACAGGAATTTATATCCTTCTTAAATATTTTATAATTAAAATTCAAAATAAAATTTAAAAGCTATTATGACTTTGTATCATATTGAAATTTTTAATAAAAACCTTTTGTAATCAATTGCAAATTTATTCAAAGATTTGAAATCGTCACTTGGCTACGAAGTCATAACAAATATTTACATAAATAAAAAATATTTTTTTAAAGATGTTTAAATAATGTTTTTGGAAATATTAAAATGTTCTTAAGCTTTTAGTGATGGAGTGATGGATGAGTTTATGGGCTTCGGGTCATTTCATAATTGTCATAACTGATAGGTATATTTAACTTGATTGCGGCAAAATATTTTTTTTAAGTTTTGGGAAAATTCCCGGTTATTCAAAAGTTCGGATACAATAACTGGGTTTTATCCAGTTCTGCAAAATCGATATGAACTAATTGGGTAGCATTTGAAAGGTTATAGAAATACCTATGAAAACCCCCCAAAAAGTCGAAAATCATGATATTGAAATTTTCTCCACTAATATGTATCTAACCTTTATAGTTTTTTTGAGTAACCGGTCTTCGACAGGAGCTTAAGATTTTCTCCTCTGAGGTATACCCGTCTACTATGGAAACCTGAACTATGTATCACAGTTTTCAAACTTTATTTCTTCGGCTGGGGCTTGAGATTTTCTCCTCTGGGATATGTCCAACACCGTCAACGCGATTCATAGTTTTTCTAAACAGGTCTTCGACTTTAAAGTCAATAACTTCGGAACTACAACCTATAAAGTTTAGATACACATTAGTGGAGAAAATATCAATTTAATGATTTTTTGCACTAATATATTCGGAACTACAAGAGATAGCAACAATGATGGTACCATTTTGGAAAGGCAAGAGTGTAGGCTAAAAGGAAGAATTTCTTCCACGAAAATAAATTATTTTAACGTTATCAGGTTAAAATACCTAACCTGATAAAAATTTGAGGCCAATCCGAGCATAGCACCTGAAAAATTGGGTCGAAATTTAAATTTGCTTTCCAAAGGCCCAAGGCTTTTATATACCCTCCAGAATATTCTGCATTTATTCTGACGACACGGTCGATTAATACGAGCGGAGAGCGACCATTGGCTGTTATGACGGCCCACACATCACCATGGCCGGCGCTTGAGTTCTGGTGGCCAACCGAAAGTTCACATTTTCAGCTGACCTCTTTGGCAAGTAAACACGATCGTTTTATTTGTTTACAAACTGCTGGACAACGAATGTTTTCTCATCGGAGAAAAACAAATTCGGAAGTTCATCACTTTCGGCCAAGCAACGCAACTCTATTTTCGTTCTGTTGCGGTGTAAATTCTTGCACTTTTTGGAATTTGAATGGCTTTACCCGAGCTCATTTTTCAATATTTGCCGAATGGAATATTTGCTATATGTTCAGCTCACAAGCCATTTTTCGGGCACTGCGACGCGGTTTTTAGTTTAGTTTTCGAATCTTTTCTGCTAATGTTGCTGTTTTTTCGTCCTCTTCCTGAACGTCGGGCTACTCTACCAGTATCACAGTAACGAGCGATGGTACGAGACACAAAAGATTTAACGATAGCCACTTGTGGTTTTCCAGCCAAATATAAAGAAATCACTGGAAAATTCTCACAAAAAGGCTTTTGCAGGCTTGTAAACAATATAATGAGCTGTCACTGGAATAATTTTAAAAGCTGTCGGACGAGTGGCTTAGAAATGACAGCAATCTGATGTTGATTGCAGTTTTTTTATCTCACCTTGTACATATACGATATACGACCAGTTTTTTCTGAATAATTATAAGACGGCGCAATATGCCATACAACCAGAGAAACAATTCAGTTGATGCATCAGTCATTTCCCGGTCATGTTATTTCGCGTTTTGAAGACCAGAATTGGCCGCCTAAATCGTGCGTTTGAACACCTTTCGATGTTTTTCATTGCGGTTTTTTGACGTCGATGGTTTACGCGAATAAGCCGACGACTCAAGCCTTAAAAGAGGAAAAGGGACGCAGCATTAATGAATTGCCGCAGCATTCATTGAAAATGTCATTAAAACATATAGCTCCCATGTGTTAAATGTGTAATATTAGCTCAAATAGTATGAAATTGGGCAGAGACTACCAAATATAGCCTAGAATCAAGTATTTCAAATTTTTTCGTAATCGGTTAAGATTTAACAATAGCTCCCTTAGATATGTTCCATCCTATTTTACGTCTAAGTCCCCCAAATGCATACTATACACTCCATAACAAGGATTTTCGGCACAAAGTATTAGGAACATACATACAATTATCTTTACCAAGTTTTGTAGAGATCAGTTCAAAATTGGATATATTTCCCATATGTATTTCCCCATATTTAATGTAAATAATTCATCAAGGACGCTTCATTTGTTCAATTAAGTTGTTTCATCCGATTTTATATTTGAGTATTCTAAAAGGCATAACATTCACTCCATAATAGATTCGAGGGGTCACATACGATTAAGATATAGTTTCATAGGTTAGTTTCGATCGATTCCAAATTTAAACCGCTCTAGAGCCTAAACACACAATTAATACTTAAATTACCAAAATGTTTTAACATCGGATTCTTTCAGAGTATTTTTGAAAACGATTGTTCTTTGCCAGTTTCAACAATTGTTCCTTCAGAATAGGCACCCACAAATTGTGCTAGACAACGAAGGACATTGCAAAATTTTTGTGTTATAGCAATTGTGTATATCATTTGAGTCTATTAAATATAAAACTACACTTCAGTATATTTTTTTCATTTATTTTCTCTTTTTATTTATTTTCAAATATTTTTTTATTATTTTTGATTATTTTTTATGCGTTATATCACATATTTTTTTCTTCTTAAATATATACATATGTATAAATATAATTTAGATCTCTTAACGAGACGCAGTTTAATAAAATTCAAAAAAAAAAACCGATATTAAATTACTTCATAACATAACGAAAGGAAAAACAATTATGGCTTTTATAAATAAAAAACATAATTTATAAAAATGCTAAAAAATAGTCAATATATTATAGGTTTCGTTAATAATATGCAGTTGTTTTTTAAATTATTCAAATCGTATTCATTTGCATGTTGAATATCTATTTCTACATAACTAATTAACAATAATAACTAATTATTTTCAACTGAATATTGTATATGGGTGTGGGTATGTATGTATAATGTCATATGGTGTCTAACTAGTGTTAAAGTTTAAAATATAACTTTAATTAACATAGAATGGGAGTTGTATTTTTTATTTATAAAGTAGTTTCAAAATTTAGAAATCTTTAATTTTTTAAATTAAATAAAGTAATATTGTTATTTATACACAATGCTATTGTACTTTTTCGAAATATTTTAAATTTGCGAAAAAAATTAAAAATAGAAATGATTGAAGAACAATTTTTTGAAAATATAAATATATATTATAAATAATATATAATTTACAGACTAATTTAGTGTTCAAACAGAACAGTCATAACAGCCATCAGTCCTATGCCACCTAATAGTGCAAGTAATTGCTTTAGTGATTCTTTGGGATTTTCCTCTTGCAATAAATCCGGTAATACTGTAACCAATGCTATATGTAAGAAGCCTCCAGCTGTAAATGGCATAATCCATGATGTACGAGCCTCTGTAATATTTTAGATGGAAGAAATTAAAAAAAATATAACATATGAATAAATGAAGGCAATTTAATCTTACCCATAGCTGAGGTAACGCCGGAGCCTCCAATGGCTACTAGGGCACCCATTAAACCAGCACCAGCAGTTAAAAGCTGAGCGCGAGCAGCGTCCCATCGGCTAAAACCGGAACGCAACAGTATAGCAAAATCTCCGACTTCATGGGGAATTTCGTGCACTGTAAATATAAAGAGATTATATTAAAATAAGATGAACATTTTGATTAATTTAAAATGATTGTCAATTGTACTTTTTTAGAATTTCGAATTTTAAGACTAATTTGTTAAGGACTATCAGCGCGTGAATTCTCGATTGCTTTATAATAACTTAATAAGACATTTCTTCTATTATTATAAAAAAATAATATTTTTTTTCGCCAGATAAATTTTTTGGCCATACTGGCTTTGGATTACAAATGGAAAATGATATAATCAATGAATAAATCGTGAATGTTTTAATCATATTTTTGTCGACCTTTTAGAGCTTAATCCATGAATTCTAAGGAATATTTTAGAAATATAATAATAAGTATAATTTCTGATAAATAATTTTGGTTTTTTGAAAAAGATTTCCAGAGTATTGTTGGACTTCTTTCAAACTGAAAACTCTCGACTCGTTTTAATATTTGATTTCCACATTATTTACCTAAAACTTTTACTTAAATTGCGTGTACGGCCTTCATTATTTCTCGGAATATTGCAAATAATCAACACTTCCTACTTACACAAAATGGCAAATGTCGCCAAAACACCATGACGAAATGAGACCAAAAATGAACCAGCCACTGCCAAGCCATGTGTAAAATTATCAATGGAATTGGCCATTAAATTCAAATAGCCAGCTATTTTCTTTGGTTGTTCTTTTTTATTCTGTTCACGTTCACGCAAGAAACAACCGTTGGGTACATCTTCAATATCACAGGAACCGTTGCCAGTACAGCTGCCGGAGGTTTTACCATCAGGCAGTTTACCGCCGTTTTTGCGCAATAAACAGTTGGCAATTTCGACACACTTTGGTTGGGGATTTTCTTCATCGGCATTACAATAACCCGAGAAGATTTTTTCCACAATTGTAAATATAAGTATACCGGCTAGAACCCAGAGACCGGAACGTAATGAAGGATGATCCGAGGATGAAGAGGCTGAGCAAGGGAAGAAGATAGATATATTATAGAAAAAGGTTCTTCAACATAATATGAAATATGATCAAATACTTACATAAATCGCTATCACCCTCCCAGGCTTCGGGTAATAGATGCAAAAATACATCGCCCAACAGACCGCCTACGGCAAAACTTAACAAAACTTTAAGGAACTTTGATTCACCAGCTAAAGAAATAAAAATTAGTACTTATTTATCACAACTCATTTTGTTGTTACTTACGATCTGAATATCCTTGTTGTTTCAATTTTTCATCATTGGGTATTATGATTAGTGGCAAAATCCCACTTAAACCAATTACCACTGAACCCAGCAGTGAAAATACCCATGGTGTATATTCGAAGCCTTTGAAATATTCCGGTACATAATTCTTGACAAGATGTGTATACAATTGAACTAAATTATCATCAAATGCCGATGTGGTATTCATGGTGTTGCTGCTTATGATTTCTACTGGTTGTTTGCCCGATTGCTAAATGTAATGTGGTATCACAAAAAAATTGAGTTGTGTGGGCCGGCGTTCGGTTATAATTTTTATGATATGATAAATTCTAATTTCAGGATGGTGCCAACTAAAGAAATATAATAATCTCAATTGGAAGACTTAAGGCGCAATGATGGGTTAAGCTTCTTTACTGGAGGGAATTTTTAAATGTCCATTAACACTTGAATGTATCTGAAAGTGAAAAAAGAAAGATAATATTTTTTCCAATCATTAGCAGAGGCAATCAAAGTATTTACAGGAAACATATGTTTAAAAAAAAAAAAAAACAAAAAATAATAATCCATTGTTGATGGGTTGAATTAGTGAGAATATTTTTTTGCACAAAACTTGGAAAGAAAGTGTGGTGCAGTGCGGTGTGCACCTTGTCGAACGCCCTGGCAACATGATGATTTTAAATTATTGTTAAGAAAGTAACATTTTTATTTGTTATATATCATTGATATGTAAATCTTTTTGATATACGAAGTCCCATGGGTCAATCAACCATTGTGGTTACGTCAATTTTCCTAAATCTCGTGAGATAAGATAGTAAGTATCTAACAGTTTTAGCTATCGGTTCTATCGAAATATACAAACAAATTTCTATAACACGTGTAATTTGTAATATTAACAATAAATTTGTGCGTGTACATTGGACAGGTTGTTACAATTGTACATTTCGTGGTTGATTTTACTATCTCTTAAAGGTAGTTTTGTATTTGGCATTTCTAAGGAAGTTATATGTTTAGTCAGAAGGGATAAAGTGGATTATTTTTGGAAATATTTTCTTCTATTTAAACATAGAAAAAAAAAAAACAAGTAAAAAAACATTAAGTTCGACCGGGCCGAACTTTTTATACCCTACACTTTACCACAAATACCAATTTTTAGCCATATTCATAGGAAAATGTGCCTACATAAAAACGTGGACCTATACATACCATGTTTTGCCAAAGGAGCTAGAACCCATTAGAACCCACTAATACCAATTTTTAGACAAATCAGGACCCCGTTATGACCTACAAATACCAATATTCACACAAATCAGTAAAAAATGTGGCAAATACCATCAAAATACCGAATATCGGGGGGTACCGTTATATGAAGGCTATACCAAATCGTGGACATATACATACAATATTCCGCCACACGAACTAGGACCCATTATGACCAACAAATACCAATTTTCAGATAAATTGTGAAAAAATGTGGCAAAAATAATCAAAATACCGAATGTCGGGAGGTACCGTTATATAGGGACTATACCAAAACGTGGACCGATATATTTTATTTTCAATACCAACCATCCTAGACACAATTCAAATTGTTCTGCTAAATTTTGACGATCTACGTCAAATAATTTGGGCTGTATCGTGATTTCAATAGACAGACAAGCGGACATCGTTAAATCAACTAAGAATTGGGGAAATTGGGGTCTACGACGAATATTTAGGGATGTTACAAAGGAATGACAAAGTTAATATGAACACATATCAATGATGGCTATTACTCTATAAATTCAAAGGTGAAAAAATTGGTCGTTTTTTAGTTATTATTTTTTTTTTACAATACCGATGTAAACAGCTCTCGCACGTTTTGTGTTTTGTTTCACTGTCAAACGTCCTCCGTTTGGTCTATAATTTAACCCTGAATCGTATTACAAACGAACTGTAAGCGTTTTTCGTCATTGAATTCGTGCTCTGTTAAGAATGTCCATCGCGTGAATCATAACGTAGCTGTGAATGGTGATGGAGATGACATTCAACTTGTTTTTGTCCAAAATTCTTGAGGTTTCAACAAGAAGGTGTCACATGCCACAGAGAACACGGAACAATGTATTATTGAGAGGCGAGTTCGGTGAACATTTCCTTTCATGTTCAGGACCGATCGATTGGCCACCCAGATCGTATTCGTGATGGAATTCAAGCGTGATAGTGTGATTTCTTTATATTTGGCTGGAAAACCACAAGTGGCTATCGTTAGAGCACTCCAGCATTTAAATGTGAATAAATTTTTGTGTCTCGTACCATCACTCGTTACTGTGATAGTGGTAGCTTAGCCCGACATCAAGGAAATGGACGGAACAAAACAGAAAAATAGCAAAAACGGTTCGAAAAGTAAAGAAGCGACTTGATCGAAACCCACGTCGCAGGGGCCGAAAAATGGCTCGAGAGCTGAACATATCGCAATATTCCATTCGGCAAATATTGAAAAATGAGCTCGGGTAAGGCATTGAAATTGCAAAAAGTGAAAGAACTTACACCGCAACAGAAAGAAAATAGACTCAAAAGAGGTAAAGTTACTTTACTTGGCCGAAAGTGGTGACCTGCCGAATTTGGTTTTCTCCGATGAGAAAACATTCGTTGACCAGTAGTTCGTAAGCAAACAAAATGATGGTGTTTACTTGCCAAAGAGGTCAGCTGAAAATGTGCACATTCGGTTGGCCACCAGAACTCAAGCGCCGGGTATTGTGATGGTGTGGGCCACCATAACAGCCGATGGTCGTCATCCGCTCGTATTAATCGACCGTGGCATCAGAATAAATGCCGAATATTATCGCCAAAATATTCTAGAGGGTGTATTAAAGCCTTCGGCACGCAATCATTTTGGCCGAAGACCTTGGACATTCCAACAGTACTCAGCACCATCGCACTTAGCGCACAATGTCCCCTAAAATCTCCGGATACCAAGCCGTTGGACTATTGTGTCTGGAGTATTTTGGGAAGCAAGGTTGGCACTAAAAAATGCCAAAGTGTCGATAACTTCAAGCAGCGTGTGACATTGGCCGTTTGAGAAATGTAAAAATGATGGCGTTTGACTTTGTTGCAGTTTTTTATCTCACCCTGTAATTGGTTCAAATTTTGAAGATACGATCAGATGTTTCATGACTTTATCTTAATTCAAGCAATTGAAATCATTAAATCACATAAAACCACTTCCATTAATTTTTTCTGCGAATTATATACTTTTCGGCATTCAAAACAGATTTCATCGAGTTGAGTGTTTCCAATAAAAATGACAGCAAAATCGACGTGGTCTCATCTTTAAATTCCTCTAATAAATAAATTCTTCTAATAATATCGAATAAAAATAGTTTAATATGCCAAGGAATTATGTGACCCAATTCAAACGTTATTATTATAATATGAAAAACGCTTAATTTTTGTTATTAAAGCACGTTTGATGAAAACAACAAAAATATTAACAACTACAGAACAATATGCAAATATTTTAATCTTTTATGCATATTTCAAGATCACTTTAGGTAGGAGTTAACACTGGAGGTATACCAAGCAACGTAGTAGAATTGTCTGTCTCAAACTGATGTAAGATTTCAAGTTGAGGCAGTAATACAAATTTAGCCAGCATTACAAAAATAAAACAACAATAAAAACATGCTTTTGCAAAAACCACTTAACCCACAACGAAAACAACTGTAAACGGTAAATGAAATTAAAAGTGTCAACTACCAACCACTAGCGCGCCGTCAACTACCACACTACCAATTTATTAATTAGGAACGTGAACAGCCAAGTTTAAATGATAACTGATTTCAAAACATTCTCAAGCGAAGAAATATATAAACTAAAATAAAGAAAAATTTTGCACGTTCGTTTCTTTTAGTATTTGGAAACAACGTTGTGAGATAAGATATGAATGTTTTGATTTTTTCGGTAAGACATAAATAAATCAAGTTAGTATCCAAAGCAGCCAAACAAAAGTTGAAGATAGATTGGTATTTATTTGCTGGAATATGTTATAATGTACTTGTCTGTCACTTAATTACAAAAGGCGACAGATTGATTAGTCAATCTTCCGAAGGCCGAATCTGTTAAAACAATGTTTTGTAAGGATGTTAAAGGACAACTTTGTACACCTAAACCGCATTGCTTGTTATAGAGCGGGGCTACTTTCAATAGTTTTAAGTTGGACTCAATTCATTGCTGCGGTTACAGATTACCTAAAAATACAGTCATGAAGTCTTTCTATGTCTTTTAAATGAGTCCCTGTCGCCAAACTTTGTTTAGGACTTTGATTAGATACATTCTTCAAGGAGTGGACCGAGGATAAAGAGACTAAGTTCTTGGCGATTGTAAGAAGTTCTATAAGGCGTTTATGACAGGGACCTCTGTTAATTCATTTTCAAGGCGCTACTGCCATCTTTAGCGATGGATCTGAGATGGAAAATAGCACGATTCCTGATGTTTCTGATTGCTTGTAATCGAAATGGTTATGGATATGATGGCTGATAGAATCAGGGAATTTGGAATTGGTATATATCGATAGAAAGATAAAAATGTCGCGGTTTTGGATTACATAAACGCTCTGTTTAAGGTTTAATTTATTGAGCCTTTTTAAAAAAAAAGTTATAATGATAAAAAACACCTTCAAAAATTTTATGTAAGACTTATGATTATAATGTATGATCACAATTAATTTATTGTAAATTGTGATCATACATTATTTATGTCATACATTTATTTATGTCTTGCAACATCAAGCTTTTAAATAATCAAATCATAAATTGTTATAATAATTCTTTGCTCCCGGGAAAATAACGCTCGGGAAATAAATACATCCGCCTTTTTGACATCCAAACAATTAAAATATCTTTGGAAATGAAGCAGAAGATTTGTTGGCAAGATGCAGATTCCAGTCAAGTCAAACTATATCGGGAAAATGATTGAGGCTTATTTTGCTTGCAATTCTATAGAAACCCAATTTGGGTTTTTTCAAAGGTTGTCGGAATTTTCGCAAACCACATTCCTTTGTATACTTGTTCTTAATATATTTGAGCCTCTATACAATCAAAAATCGTCCCATGTATCCAACTTAATATTTCATTTTTTTGACGATATTATTTTTCAGGATGGATACAAACGTCTGCCAAAAGATCTTCAAGAAGGAAAGTAGGTCACCTTTAATCTAACCTCAGCTCAGAACGGTCTTGGCGGTCGGTGAACTACCCAAAATTCTAACTTGATTGCCGAATTTTTTTGTTGCAGAAACTCTAGTTTCGCATCATACAAGGTGAGAAGAAAAAACTTCAACCTTCAGAAGGAAAAACTTCAACCTTCAGCTATTAAGATTATTCCAGTGACAGCTCATTATATTATTTTCAAGCGTACAAAAGCATTCTGGTGCGAATTTTCCAGAAAAAAAAAATATTCGTGATTAAGTTCAAACGTGATAGTGTGATTTCTTTATATTTGGCTGGAAAACCACAAGTGGCTATCGTTGGAGCACTCCAACATTTAAATTCGAATAAATCTTTTGCATCTCGTACCATCACTCGTTACCGTGATACAAGTAGTGTACCTCGACGTCAAGGAAGTGGACGGAAGAAAACAGCAACATCAGCAGAAATGGTTCGAAAAGTAAAGAAGCGACTTGATTAAAAACCGCGTCGCAGTGGCCGAAAAATGGCTCGTGAGCTGAACATATCGCAGTATCCCATTCGGCAAATATTGAAAAATGAGCTCGGGGTAAAGACATTGAAATTCCAAAAAGTTCAAGAACTTACACCGCAACAGAAAGAAAATAGACTGAAAAAAACTAAGGAGTTGCCTCGCTTGGCCAAAAGTGGTGAACTGCCGAATTTGGTTTTCTCCGATGAGAAAATATTCACTGTCCAGCAGTTTGATGCTATTTCCGACATTTTTTGCTTTCATTCAATAAAATTAAAAAAAATAAATAAAATTATGGTGTTTGACTTTGTAGCAGTCTTTTTATCTCACCCTGTACATCTTCAAAAATCAATGGAGTTACCAAAGTTACATGACGCACAGCACGCGTAACAATGAACTCATTGAGAGTCGAGTTCGGTGAACATTTTATTTCACGTTCGGGATCAGTAAATTGACGAACGCGTGATTTAATGCCTTTAAACTATTTTTATGGGACTGTGTTACGACGACAAGCCCGCTTCAAGCAATAAGATTATATTCAATTAATAGAACTACCATGAAGGGTTTTCTACCCACTGAAGAGTTATAGAAGGACTTCTGTCTATAAAGGGGTTTTCATATGTGCTACTTTTGACACTTTCTGTTCAAAACGTATTATACATTAACGTCTTCCCCTTGGTCGCTTGATAAACGGAAACGTTTCTGTTTTTTGCTTTTGCCATTTTGCGGCAGACCCAAACCTTGCTATTTTACCGTAATCAAATATTCCCACAGCTGAATGAGATTTTGATGTTTTCAGAGGCAAAACACAACTGGATATGAATAAATATTGATTTTCATCTTGAGACTTTATACATATTAATATATACAACAATATACAAATATACACATGTGAACATACAAGTATATACATGTGACACACACACACACAAATTTTAAGTCATTAACCTCTTCCACATATAATTAATGAATTGGAAATGGAAACGTCATTAAAAAGACAGTTAAGAAATTTTAGAAATATTTTAACAGCGGACTTATGGAGTTTGAAATACGTATGTGTCTAAGATCTGGGCATATGGTGAGTTTAATTTTGTTGTTCTTTCTAGGATACTAAAAATAGATTCGTTGGATTTAGTTTTTAAATGTTTTGTATAATTTTAACAAGTTGCTTAAAGATTACATTCATTGTCTGGCATTCCAAGACTCTGTATGACATGTACAAGTAATTTTTGTCTTCCTTAGTAGTTTTTTCACCTTTCAACGACACGCAATTGTTAGACAGGAAGTCTTTGTTTCAATAATAAATTACAAAATGCAACTTAAAGAAAAAAAAAAACAAAATAAATGTAACAACAAAGACATAGTATACAATTACACACACACTCCTCACTTTGCACATTATCAAGATCACCTACTTAAATGTAATACAAAAAAATACACGTTTTAGTTTTTCATTGAGGTTTGCTAGTACTTTCAAACTGAGACAGTTCGTTGCGGTTCATTTGATTCCAATCAATAATTGATCAATTGTATGATTCCATATATTTATGAACATTATATAAAAATGGAATAGGTAAAAAATATTGCTTTGTTTCGTATTCTCATTTTTGTTTGTCGAAGCAAAGTTTATCTTTGCCTAAAACTCTTCCCATATTGAGCTCGAATCATTGAAACGTAAAACTAACTCCCTCCTCTTTGCTTTGGTGATATGTTTGTTGGTTTCTTCTAACACTCATTGCGATTTTAATTTGAGGAACCGGTTTGGATGTTAAATTTAGCTTGATATTTAAAAACAACATTTGGTGTGTACCTTTTGCGGATGGCATTTAAAGTGTTTCTAAAAGATAACTTCAATTTAGAAGGAAAATTAAAATGTTTGGGGTGGCTAAATTTCACTCTCTGAAGTGAAGGTTTTTAAAGAAATGGTAAACATTTCTTTTTTATAGAAGCAAAATTCAAGTCCAAACTGAATTAAAACTTAAATCGGTTAAAACATAAAGACATATGAGAGTTTTACATTCTACTGGGTGAGATGAAAAAACTGCAACTAACTTCAGACTGCTGTCATTTCTAAGCCACTCGTCCGACAGTTGTTAAAATTATTCCAGTGATAGCTCATTATATTGTTAACAAGCGTACAAAAGAATTTTGGTGACAATTTTCCAGAACAAAAGTTATTCGCGATGGAATTCAAGCGTGACAGTGTAATTTCTTTATATTTGTTTGGAAAATCATAAGTGGATATCGTTGGAGCATTCCAACTTCAGACTGCTGTCATTTCTAAGCCCCTCGTCCGACAGTTGTTAAAATTATTCCAGTGATAGCTCATTATATTGTTAACAAGCGTACAAAAGAATTTTAATGAGAATTTTTCAGAAAAAAAGTTATTCATGATGGAATTCCAGGGTGATAGTTTGATTTATTTATATTTGGCTGGAAAACCACAAGTGGCTGTCGTTGGAGCACTCCTGCATTTAAATGTGAATAAATCTTTTGGTCTCGTAACATCGCTCGTTACCGTGATACTGGTAGCGTAGCCCGACGTCAACAAAGTGGTGATATATTTGAAAAGTTTTGTAAGTTTTTTCGAACGAGGACACACGTAGGGCCTTTTTTACAAAGACCTAAAATGGTAAAGACTATCTAGATAAAAGTTCATGACAGGACCATGTTAATATAAAAAACACATTCCAAATGAGTTTTTCAGTTTCTTTTTTTTTTTTTCAAATTTTCAGTAAATTTAAACAAATCAAATATTTGAAAAACTCATTTGAAATTTAACAACAGAGTTACCTAAAATTCAACTTCCCACTATTGAAAAATGTTTTGTACGTCCCAAATACGCTAGTTCCATATCTTAAAATCTTTTGATCATTTTTATCATTTATCCAATTGTTATATTTTCTAATTAAAAATATTCACATTTTCTAATTAAAAATATTCACATTTTCTAATTAAAAATATTTACGTTTTCTGCTTCATTTATTTATTTATTTACAACACGAAAAAAATGTTCAATTGTTAATGTTTAAAAAGTTTAACATTGAAATTTTGTATGCGTGACGTATTTAGGTAACTCTCGTGAATACATGTGTTTTACTTGTGTGGAGAAAAACGTAGAAATTTAGCATTAACTATCTCCATAAATTTAGCATCACTTGGTCCCAACATTCTTTTTTATAATACAATTCTGCACCCTAAATAAATCAACCTTTCTAGAATCTAGAAAGGTTTTGGCGTCACGAGCATTGATATTGGCGGCAACATTGGCATAATTTCACATTTATTTCACACTATTATAAACTTACTTGTTTTCTAATTAACAATGACGTAGTTATGGCCGGGAAGTGAATTTTCAAACATAAGATCAATGTATGATGACGATGACGTTGTTCATGCCGCGTTCATTTGAATTAAGTTCTTTAAGTTGGGGAGGGGACAATCACAAATTTCATTGGCATATAGGTAGGTAGGTATTTTTTTGTATTCACATAAATGATCATCAAACTCATCAAGGCTTGACACAATTTAAAATTTATTATAATTCTCGTTTTGGTTTTATTTGGTATTGTTTACTTGTTTTTTATTTACTTTTTAAAGCTTTTGTTGTTTTTGTTTTTTTTTTTAATAAAATAAATTAATTCTTTTTTCGGCGTAGAACTGCACACGTTGCGTTTAACTTTTTTTGTAGCAGCAGACAGTCTCACTCAGCACAAGAAAACTAGCATCTTATCGACAAGAGATTCAGAAACGTTTTAAATGTCCGACTTGATTGCGAATTTAATATAACTTCTTTCGGTTCGTTGTAGTGCGGAGTGATTCTGACTTGGAGAGTAAAAAAGTGTGGGGAGATCCCTGACTATGTGGTCGCCGCCGTTGTCGTTTAGTTGTATTTAGCTAATCTATGAGACAGATCTTTCCACTGGAACTAGAGTTGAGAACACACAATACGATCATGTATTCTATCAATTTGGTTTAGTAATGATTTATTTCTGTTCTTTTGTCTACCATTGTTAGCCGGTAGCAGGTATTAACAAAAACAACAAGAAAAACAAAGCAACATATAAAGATTTTACTCTCTTACGTTTTTGGTGAGAAAATATTTTCGTGAGCGAATAGAAAATAAAGGTATTTCTCCGTTGTTTTGTTATGATTACAAATAACAATTGTTATTGTATTTTGTTTTATTCTATTCGAAAACAAATAAATAATAATCCACATTGCCAGTAACAAAAACAGCAAAGAGCAAGCAGTCGGCGAGATTCTCACAGCCGGCCATCTTTAAATAATTTTTGCACTCTGCACACTCTCTCGTCATGTATTTATTTTGTTTGTCATTTACATTGAGAAGTGCACGGTAATTTGAAGTACAAAAAAAAAACCATAATATAATGTTGTGCTACTGCAAAACAAAAAAAAACGTAAAGTCACAGTGGGTTTGGATATCTAAAATATATAGAGTGTCAACAATGAAAAAAATTGGAATTATGACCATTAAGGAGAGGGAATGAAAAAGACGTTCGCGTCCGACTACATGATAGCCTACGCCATTATGCATATTAAGCAGATTTACCCGTAACAAATATATGTGTAAGTTAGGGATCAATTCGGATGAAACATATATGGGAGGCATACCTATAGTAATTTTTTAATTATCATTTTGGCAACAATGGTTTAAGCAGCAAACGCACGCTTTGTGTTTTGTTTAACAGTTCAACATTTTCACTTTAATCGTCTTACATTGTCAAAATACGTGCTATTTTAATAAAGTTCATTGGTGAGAGGTGAATTCTGTGAAAATTGTTTTCACGTTCCGTTTATGTGATCAAATATTTTATCAATGTTTCATGACACACTGAAAGTTAAGTGGAAAAGATTGTTTACCAATATTGCACACGTTAACTTTTTTCTGGGTATTCCGAGATATACTATATCTTTATAAAATTTTAACCACTATTAGGCCCATAAAAACAAATTATAGGGATTCTCGAAATAGCAATATTTATGTGTATTTTTAATTCTGAACCAAAAAATTGTTACCTAGACCTAACCCTTTTCTTTGCCAGACCTAACTCTTTTCGGCTTGAGATCTCACTTTTTCGGGTTTCCCACCTTCGGCTGTGTCCAAAGTCCATAATTTCAGAGATCGATTAAAGTACATACGGTTAACATTTGTACCAATCTTGAAGTTTATCTTTTTTTTTGGGTCTCTTTCTCTTGGCTTTTCATGCAACTTCTGGTATTTTCACCCAAATTGTGGAACGGTATTATCACTCGACTTTTAGCATTCAATTGGCGCATCGCAAGACAACATGATTTTAAAGGGTTTGCCAAAATGCCCATGTACCAAAAAAGATTCGAAACCATATCACCTGTACCGATGATTGAACAGCATCTTTGGTATCTAACATTTTGCTGGCTACTTAAGACCTTAAATCGCATGCTGTGTGACTTTATCAAATTGGTTTTGGCTGTACTAATATTAGAATTTTGCGCAATCCGGTGTTCTGCCGATTGAAAAATGAGATTAGAATTTTACAAAATAGGTTCTTAAAAAACAAGATTTATGGAAATTCGAACTTCGATTCGGGGAAAATGTGATTGAAACCTTTAAATAAAATAAATATGTTGCTTAATCTCCAATCTGTTGAATTTAAATTTCTATTTGCTTTTATTTTCGTAATCGACGAAAAATGTTCGTCAGGATAAAGACCAAAATAAAGTAATTATTAAGACCTTTCGATAGATTCAAAATTTTGTAGTAATATATTGCCCTGCTGGTGAAATGATATTGTAATTACATTTCAGAATTAGCCATGATATAATAATATCTCATATTTTTAAAAAATGCGAATAAAGTAACAAATTAATTCTTTCCCCTAAGAATACGAAAAATTTTAACTGAAAGTTTTTTTTTTCATGATTCTATGGGCATCCATAACTTATTATATAATTTAAAAACATATAATTTTATTTCCACTGTGCAAAAGTGAACGCCTTCAAGCTCTGATAGACAAGTACTCAATATGTTATTTTATGTCACCGTCTGAATGCGCAACAAACAACAAAAGAAAACCCCAATAAAATGCTTAAAAACTGATTATGATGTTTTGTTGAAAGAATTAAAAAAAATATATACAAGAACAAAAACCTAATGACGACAAAAACAGCTAACGAAATAAAACTTGTCGTATTTCAATGAATGTGTCATATGTTTCAAAGTCTTATCGAAAATATTGTGGAAGTCTATTTCTTTGTATACCTTCCATGATGGATTGGAGTGTATTAGGTTTGTCTCCACGTTTGGTATCGCTTCGAATAGTTGCTTCAAATCAAATATAGGTTTTATTTTTGGAGAGCTGTACTAAGTTGGATTTTTTTCACACATCAAATTAAGGGAATGCTTCTTGAAATAACACATTTGAGGAAAAACAAGTTAAAAAGCAGTAAGTTCGGCCCGGCCGAATACCCTCCACCATTTACAACGAATTTGGAAATTTTCAAAAAAATAAAATCCTTAAAAAATTCTGTTAAAATTTAAAAAATACCGAATATAGCCGTAGTCGTCAAAATACCGAATACAGGGAGGTACTGATATATGAGGCCTATACGAAGACATGGATCCGCACAGACAATTTTCTGTCACAGACTGTAGTTCCCATAACGAACTTCAAATACCAATTTTGAAAAAATTCCGGTGAATAATGTCGCTAAAATCATCAAAATACCGAATATAGGAAGGTACCGTTATATGGGGGCTATACGAAGACGTGGACCTGCACAAACAATTTTCTGTCTTAGGGGGAAGTATCCATTTGGAACTTCAAATACCAAATTTGAAACAATTCCGGTTAATAATGTCGCTAAAATCATCAAAATACCGAATATAGGGAGGTACCGTTATATGGGGGCTATATGAAAACGTGGACCTACATGGCCCCTTTACGAACTTAACCTGCCTACTGGAAAAATAAACATGTGTGCAAAATTTTAGCCATCTATCTCAATTCATTCGAAAGATAGCGTGATTACAACAGACAGACAGGCGGACAGACAGACAGACGGACATCGCTAAATCGACTTAGAATTTCAAGATCAAGATCAAGAATATATATACTTTGTTGGGTCTGACATGAGTATTTCGAGGAGTTACAAACGGAATGACAAAGTTAATATACCCTCCATAGTATGGTGGAGGGTAGAAAAACTGGTCGCATGATGGAACCTTCCGCAATAGCGATAATTGTAGATTTAGGAGGGCTAAAGTGTTTCGACCTGGTCGACTTATTGCTGTATAACAAGCATATTGTTCAACTAGTAATAAATAATGAGAAATTGTGGCATATCAATACAGAATAAAGGGGAAGCAATAATTGTTATTAGCGGCGGCTGCCTATGTCATTAAATCGTTGTAATACTAATTTATTCCACTGGATTACGTCATGGTTTGCTATTATGTATTGAAACTCATTTCAATACGTAATGTATTAAAAAAATGTAAGATCAAAAATAATTGTTAATAAATAATTTGAAAATAAAAGTTTGTAATTGTTTTTTTATTCATAGAAATGATAGATTATTTATCATCACTTTTCTATATTTAAGTTATCCGATACATGGGCTTCTTTGTTTCAATTGAAGAAAATTACCCATTCCAAGAAGAAACCACATTGTTTTTGCTATATTTTGTGACACATTCATGTCTTTGTAGTATCAATTTAGAAAAAAAGCACAAACTGTGAAAATAAAAAATACGGTAAATTCCTTAATATAGAATAAAACAAACTTTTGCAGTAATAAAAAATGAAGTAGATATAAAAAAGTGTAAAGATAGGGCATTTCCCTTTTTTCGGTGGATATGTCAATGGTGTAATGTACATTATATAAAATGTTGAGAAAAAGTGACTATATTTATTAGGTGAATTAAAATTCATATATAGATATACAGGGTGAGATGAAAAAACTGCAACCAACTTCAGACTGCTATCATTTCCAAGCCACTCGTCCGACAGCTATTAAAATAATTTCAGTAACAGCTCATTATATTGTTTACAGGCGTAATATAGCATTTTGGTGAGAATTTTCCAGAAAAAGCATTTAAATGTGATACTAGTAGCGTAGCCCGACGTCAAGGCGACTTGATCGAAACCAGCGTCGCAGTGGCCGAAAAATGGCTCGTGAGCTCAACATATCCCAATATTCCATTTGGCAAATATTAAAAAATGAGGTCGGGGTAAAGCCATTGAAATTTGGTTTTCATAATGATCGTGTTTCATGACAAAGGTGACCAATACGAACAAATCTAAATTTATTTTGGAATCTGATGCTATTTCTGACATATTTTGCTTTCATTCATTACGATGTAAAAATTATGGCGTTTTGACTTTGTTGCATTTTTTTTATCTCACCCTGTATATGTGTCTGTTAAGAAAGTTCAAGTTCGGGACGAGTAAACTTGTCGCCTACATCATGCGTTTTAACATCTTTTTTAGATAGATTGGGTCTATGTTAAAGCTCATGACGAACCCGATTCAATTGACGTATTGCACGATAACAATGTTTTAAAGCGGATGAACCATTTGAGGTGCAGTCACAGTCAATATTTGCATGAAATAATCTTTCAACACCGTGCTATAAATCCAAATAAAGATTTTAGCATTTTTTTCTGAATTTTATGTTTTTTTTTTTGATCACCCATTATGTCTGGGGCGATTTAATCTAAATTCGGTAGACATAGGTGAATGGATATCTTAGTTTATAGACTTTTGGACACGGACGAAGTTAGGAAACCCGAAAAAATGAGAAAACCCGAAAAAAAGAAAAATGAGTTCTGTCACTGACGAATGATATCTGAAATAGAAAATTAGACTTTTCCCGGAAGATTGTAGTTTTTTTAATTCACAGGATAAAATGCCCCATAATATGCAGTGATATAATTATGAGTCACTTTAAAAATTACGTACCCAT